TGTATGTATGTATGTATGTATGTATGTATGTATGTATGTATGTATGTTTGTTTTTAAAAAAACAAAACATTTTTGTTACCTTCTTCGTGTCTCTATCAAGAAGGTTTTTACTTAGATTAGTACTTAATATATCTCCATTGGGTTTTTTTGGTAAAAGGTTAGGTTTATGTTAAAATAGTTATTTAGCAGGATTTCTGAAACAACAATTCTCCTCTTTTTCTTTGTCCTAGGTCGTTGGCTTTCTGTTGTGGATCATCTGCTGGTCAGATGTGTTTTATTCTTTCTGGGAAAGGAGTCATGGTAGCGGTGTTGTGGCCCCCATCCACCTCATAAGCCCAACTTTACTGGGCCTCACCATGGCAAGTGCTTTTTTAACATGTTTTTATGTGTATCATCTCTCACCGGCAGCTTTATTAGGTACACCTTGCTAGTACCGGATTTGACCCCCTTTTGCCTCCAGAACTGCCTCGATCATATTTTAACAAGGTACTGCAAGCCTTCCTCAGACTTTGGTCCATATTGACATGGTAGCGCTGCAGATTGGTCGGCTCCAAATCCATTCTGCAAATCTCCACTTCTACCAAATCCCCAAGGTGCTCTATTGGATTGAGATTGGGTGACGAGTAAGCTAATTGTCTTGATCAAGAAACCAGAAAGGGATGGACTTGGAGAGGTCAGCTGGTACCAATAGGCCAGACGTCTGTGGCCCTGCCATGGACTGGGGGACGGTCCGGGGTGTACCCAGCCTGTTGATCACTGGGATAGGCTCCAGTCCCCCCTCGGCCCTATTTGGGAATAAGCAGTACAGAATATACGTGGATGGGCCCAAAGTGTGCCCCCACACCATTATACCACCACCACCAGCCTGAACCAGTGACACACGGCAGGGTGGGTCCATGCCCTCATGATGTGGTCGCCAAATTCTGGCCCTACAATCCAAATGTCGCAGCCGAAATCGAGACTCATCACACCGGGCGACGTTTTTCCAAACTTCTATCGTCCAAATTCGGTCAGCCTGTGCGAATTGTTGCCTCGGTTTCCTGTTCTCGGCCGACAGGAGTGGTCCTCTGCTGCCCGCCGGCCTCCAGGTAGGACCTGTGGTGCGTTCAGAGATGCTCTTCTACATCTCGGTTGTAACGAGCTCGAACCAGTCTGGCCGTTTTCCTCTGACCTCTGGCGACGACACGGCATATATGCGCCCACAGAACCGCCGCTGGCTGGATGCCTTCTCTTTTTAGTACCATTCTCTGTAAACCCCAGAGATGGTTGTGCGTGAAAATCCCAGCAGATCAGCAGTTTCTGAAATACTCAGACCAGCCCGTTTAGGTCCTGCAACCAATGCCAGGTTGAAAGTCTCTGAAATCCTCTTTCCTCCCCATTCTGATGCTCGATTTGAGCTGTCTAGATCGTATCGACCATGTTCTTCATGCCTGAATGCAGCTAATGAGTTGCTGCCATGTGATTGGCTGAAATTTGCGTTAATGAGCAGTTGGACAGGTGTACCTAATAAAGTAGCCAGAGAGTGTGTGTAGCAAAGCTTATCTTTTGGTATCATTAATACTTTTTGTTAGTTTTTTGTGACCTTTCTAAGGATATTTTTAAATGCATTTTTTTCAACCTTGTAGTTTAATTGAGTGGAGAGGCAGGACTTCTTTACAAAAAGTTACATTATTTTCAATGTAGTTTTTAGATTGACTTTAAAAAAAAAAAACTTTTCCAAAAAATTCTGGTATATTATTGGTATAATGATCATGTTGTGCTAATTTTTCGTTTATTTTTCTGTTATTTTTTGCACCACTCATATAATGTGCTTTTTAAAAGTTATTTTTATACATTTTTTCAATATTGTAGTTTAATTAAATGGAGAGGCACAACTTCTTGTGAAATTGACTTTTTTTAATCTTTAACTAAAATGCAGCAAGAAATTATTAGTCTATTGTATTTTGCTTATTTTTCATGTCTTTTTTTTGCACTGATCGTATGTACTTTTCTTTTTATTTATTTATTTTTATTTATGTTGTTGAAAAGCGGCGTGTTGTTTCAGTTTATGTGTTTGTGTGCAGCTGCTGGCCGCCCTCTTAATCCAGTATGAGCGCATGAAAGGAGTTCAGTCGTCCGGAGTCATGCTGATCTATTGGCTGTTGGCCTTAATATGCGCCACGGTCACCTTCAGGTCAAAGATCATCCAAGCCCTCGATCAGGTCAGTCTTGAATTAGTCGTAATAAACCAGACGTGGACGAATCAAATAAATGATACGTCTGGATATCTGACTTCTGTCATTACAATTACCGTGCTAAAAATCTAAACCACAGATTAGACCATTAGAATAAACATATCAGTAAAAAAAAAGCTATATCTTACAATATTTTATTTGAATGGGTTAGAAACTTAGAATCAATCATTAGGATTTGTTTTGTTTTTTTATTAACAATTGTCGCTTTTTTTTCTTTTCTTTTTTTTCTTACAGCAATCGACGGTGTCTGTATGGCGGTACACCACATTCTACACCTATTACACTCTGCTGCTGATAGCGCTGTTCCTGTCCTGTCTCACCGACCAGCCGCCCCTCTTCTCTCAGGCCATTAAGGACTCGGTGAGAAATGTCTGCTCTTTAGATTTCCTTACCCCAGACACTGAGATGTATACATGCATGAATCATATTAACTATAAAGCTTCACTCACAGGTTGGTGTGGCAGAAAGTGACGACAAAATGACCGATATCTAAACATCCATCCATCCATTTTTTATACTACATATTCCTAGTAAAGTCACAGGGGTCTGGAGCTTGTATCCTAGCTGTCATTGAGAAAAAAGCAGCAAATAATCTCAACAGGCTGCCTCAGATGATTATTTTCAGAGTTCTTTATTATTTACTTGACTATCATTTTGTCCATAGAATCCCTGTCCTGAGGCTGGAGCTTCTTTTCTCTCCAGAATAACCTTCTGGTGGATCACTGGGTACGTGTGCAGTGTCTATCCCAGTGACACAAGTGTTGTTTGACCTCATTATCTGTTATTGACACTCTCTCCAAATGTTTTCAGTCTGTCTACAGAAAAATAGGATAGCTGCGTGTGATTTTTGGATATTGGGGGAAAACATATTTAGCACTAAAAAGATATTTTGGAGCATGAACTTAGATTTTCTTTCATATCTTAAGACAACTCATGTGTACATTCTCTAGTATTTTGTTGGCATTTCAGAGGACAGGAAACATATAAATTTAACATGAAATGGAACCTCGGTGATGTCCACGATCAACAATAGTTTTCACGTTAGAGCGTGTGATTATTCTATTATTGTTATTTAAATTTGATTTAATATTTGCTTTAATATATTTCTTATTTACTTTAATATAGTTATTATTAAATACATTGTTTTACATGATTACAATTAAATTAAGTTATTTAATTGGATATTTATTTCATATTTACTTTATTTTCCCAACAGTGGTGATGTTTCATGTGTTCAAAAAGATAACAATTCGGAACAGATGATTTCTTACTTTTTTCCCCCTTACACTTCTTTCATCAGGCTGATGATTATTGGGTATAAAAACCCACTTGAGGAGAAGGACTTGTGGTCTTTGAACCCGGACGATCGCTCCCATAAAGTTGTGCCACAGCTGGTGTGCCGTTGGAACGCCCAGTGTCAAAAGGTCAAGAGGTCAGAGGGATTTTTCGGACTATAAGTCATACTTTTTTTTGCGTGTTTTGTCCGGGGATGCCACTTATACTCGAGCGACATTTAAATTATGAATATACCGGTAGATTCTCAGTTAATATTTCCATGATAAAACAATTTCACATGACAGAGGTGCTCTATGTTTTAAAAATGGCCACTGTAAATGGAAATGCAATCCACCATGGGCACTGTAGTACGATAAATGTATCATCATCTGAACTTTTTGTGTTAAATTAACATACCCTTATGTTCATGCGACTTATTTATGGTTTATTTTTCTTTATAATGTGTATAGTGGCTGGTGCGCCTTACAGTCTGGAAAATACGGTAAATATATTTGAATAAAAAAAATTATTTTTCCCATTTTGTTATTTTAGCAGGACGGAGCAGAAGATTGTGTATCTTCCAAAGCATACCCCTGGTAGTGACGGTAAAGAGAATCCAGCTGTGGAAGAATCTGAAATGCTGATTGTGAAATCCCCCGGGAAAACAAAAGAGCCCTCGCTGTTTTTGGCGCTGTGCTTGACCTTCGGGCCCTACTTTCTCATCTCGTGTCTTTACAAGATCATCCAGGATATCCTCATGTTTGTGGGGCCTGAGATTCTCCGGTGAGAAATTCTGCTCATGCATTTTGGCCGCATGTACAAGCCGCCATGACTAATAATAAGCAATATTTTTATATATCTTTATTTTTCTATTTATGATTCCTTGTAGACTGCTTATCCGCTTCGTCAATGACTCCAGCGCTCCCTCCTGGCAGGGCTACTTCTACACCGCCCTGCTCTTTATATGTACCAGCGTGCAATCTCTGATTCTGCAGAGGTACTTTCACGTCTGCTTCGTTTCCGGCATGCGCCTGCGCACCGCCATCATCGGAGCCGTCTACAGGAAGGTACAGGAAAAGAGACAAATGTTGCTTCAAAGTGTGTTTAGGATCGGAATTGTGTTTTAATGTAGATATGAAAGCAACGCAATGAATTACCGTATTTTCCAGACTACAAGTCACACCGGAATACCAGCAGCTATTTAATTCCATTATAAAGAAAAAGAAAACATAAAAAAGTCACACTGGACTATTAGGCACATGGACATACATGGACATAGATAATGAAATTAAAAAAACATATTTTATGGGAAAAAACATATGATTAAGTGTTTATTGGATAAACAATCTTCAGTCTACACCATAGGAAACTGCCTTTTGTTGATTTATTGGTTTGCTTTTTAGAAAACAATCAAGTGTAAAATAGACCTGGGTTTGTAAATCCTTTGATCTGTGTTGAATTGTTTTGAATCGCATCTAGGGTTGTCACGATACTAACATTTTCAACTCGATACCGATACTCGTGAAAAAATTTGATACTCGATACCATTTTCGATACCACAAGGATAAAAACAAAGACCCCAAAATTTAACAACATTTTTTTAATAGATAAAATACAAAAAATAAATAAATACAATAACCAATAAGAACAATATTTTGAGGTTATATACTGTGCACAATATTAAGCAAGCTTGATAAAAACTTTTTTTTTTTAATTAACTTAAGTGTTCCTTCCTTGGCTATGCTTTACACACATATCAAAGTCTTGCCAAACCAATTAACAAAAAAAAAAAATGCTGTATTCTCAGCAGCTGCCCCTGGGGGGGTATCGATAATTTTGAAAATGAGTATTGTATCTGGATACAACGTTTTAGTATAGATACTTTTTTGAGTATCGATACTTTTGACAACCCTAAGCACATCATGTTTCCTATCGAAGAGAATCAATTCGTAATTTTTTTGTATTAGTTTTAGTTTTTTGTATTATTTGCTTCACTTGTGATGCTAATGTATGACATTGCTGGCAGGGTATCGAGATGTGCATCGAATCAGCCTCAGTGGTGGAAACTCGCATCCCTAGTTACAAACATCTTCATTTAGCCGTAAAGCTAAATAGCGGCGATCCCTTTGTCATATTCTAGCTATCGGCAAATTTTCATGTTCTTCGGAAGGAGAATCTACAGTAAGATTTTTAGCCCTTTTTTTGTGTTTCCCTTCCCTGGCTCTGCTCTTTCTAGGCCCTGGTCATAAGCAGTTCGGCACGCCGCACGTCCACCGTGGGAGAGATCGTCAACCTGATGTCAGTGGATGCTCAGCGTTTCATGGACCTCATCACCTACATCAACATGATTTGGTCTGCGCCCCTGCAAGTGGTGCTGGCTCTCTACTTCCTGTGGCAGGTGCTGTTACAGGGAAACAGCAAGTTGTCATTGTAGTACCTGATAGCTTATAGTAATTATGCATCTAGTGCTTGTAATGTGAATGCTTTAGTTGCTTAAACATCTTTTTAAGTTGGTTTCCTTGAGGGAACAAAGTTTAACCCTGTTCTGGAAGTGATGTCGGTGGAAATGCTTCCTCTGGGTGTTTATGTTGTGGTTTTTCATGTGCAGAATTTGGGTCCGTCTGTGCTGGCCGGTGTGGCTGTGATGGTTCTGATGGTTCCCGTTAATGCCGTCATTGCCATGAAAACCAAAACTTACCAGGTGCAGCTTCAGCACACACACACGCAACTGCTCACTTTACTCTGTTACATGTGGAAGCCCTCCTAACAGGGTCTGAGCACACAATTGGAAATAAAACCCAAAACGTTGAATGTTTTCTGATATGTGTTGAGCAGGTGGCTCAGATGAAGAGTAAGGACAGCCGCATCAAGCTGATGAACGAGATGCTAAACGGCATCAAGGTCTTAAAGCTCTATGCCTGGGAGCTGGCCTTCAAGGACAAGGTGTCGAAAATCCGGGAGAGTGAGCTGCACGTGCTGAAGAAGGCTGCCTACCTTGGGGCAATATCCACCTTCACCTGGGTCTGTGCACCCTTCCTGGTGAGTCTGGCACAGGAGTTTTAGGCCTTTACAAGAGTGGACACATTTAGAATCCTCTTTCAAAGTGACAATTATAGATGGAGTTAAGCTAGCACAGCCTTACAGACAGTTCTCATGCAGACAGCAGTCTCACACAGGTCACTCCAGGTCCATCGGGACTAAAACTACCTGGCATTTCACCAGTCCCCCCCCCCCCCAGGCCACCACACTCTTTAATAAGGGCAGCTCAGCCCTCCAGCCACATCTACAGAAACCTAAGACACAGTCCCCTTAACAACACCTGATCATAGCATATTTTCTCTTCAGAATTGTACTTGCTTATTATTATACTTTGTTATTATACCTATGTGTTATTTAAATTGTCCTGTGGCACCGGGATACCAGGTTAAATTCCTGTGGGGGTTGTATATTTGGCCAATCAAGCGATTTCTGATTCTGAGCTGGGAAGTCGACTTAGGCTACACTTCTGTCATGCAGATATTTGATTTATTACCTGTACCATTTTTTTTTGGTTTTTTTGATGGGCAGCTTCAGGCCTCTTTGGGCTGCCGTCCTGCTTGTTTTAGAGGTTTTCCTGCTTCTACACACCTGATTCACATCAACACAACATCAGCAGTTGTTCAGATTTGAAGCATCTTTAGAAGAGATCAATTTTACCTGAATCCGGCGTGTACAAGCAGAGAAAACCTCTTAAAACCTGCAGGATGACCTCCATCGAGGCCCGGAGTTGCCTACCCCTGACCCATAGCAACTCTTTCTATTCTTTTTCGTCCTCCCGCTGGGTCACTGCACAGGTTGCCTTGTCCACCTTTACTGTGTATGTGCTAATTGATGAACGGAACGTACTGGACGCACAGAAGGCCTTTGTGTCACTGGCTCTTTTCAACATCCTGCGGTTTCCACTAAACATGCTGCCAATGGTCATCAGCAGCATGGTGCAGGTGGGTGCATCGTCAGCCTTTTGCCAGCAGTTTTTATCAGATACCATCACTCGCCATCGTTGATTTCCACGTATTTCAGAAAGTAAGATAACATCGTCAACTGCTTTTTTTTGGTCTGATATTTTTATTGAGTTTTTCACATTAAACACATATACATACATTGTCACATCTCATAAATTATCTAAAGCAATCCCGTATCAACATTTATGTAAACACCCCTTCCATCTACACCTACAAACCATAATTCCTGTGTTATTCCTGGAACATTGTAGTGGAATGCAGGAAGTCAAGCACTGGACTGCAAGATAAATAAAAGTAAATTACTAAACAAACAATATTTGCATTTCTGCATTTAGCAAACGCTTTTATCCAAAGTGACAAAAAAAGAGGGTTTAAAATTCAACTGGAACACAGAATACACAAGTAACCATCCATTGATGCTACATGTTGTCAGGAAATAAGAGCATTTAAAGCTTTAGGACCAGAGATATTCTGGAATAGCTGGGTCTTCAAGGGTTCTGAAGGAAAAAAGAGAATCTGATGCTCTGATAGTCTGGTGAGGTCGTTCCACCAGTGTGGAACCACAGATGAGAAGAGTCCAGATTGATCTGTGAGTGGTGCTGGCAAACATGCAGACTCCACACAGGAAGGTCCTGGTTTTGAACCGTCTGTCTTTGTCCATGTCCTGCTCTGCCTCCACATCTGTCCTCTTCAGGCCAGTGTGTCCCTAAAGCGGTTGAGAGTCTTCCTGTCGCACGAGGAGCTACAAGAAGACAGTGTGAACCGCAAAGTTCTAGCAGGCTGTAAGTATTCTCTCCTCATTTTTTTCCCATGACCATAACAGGATAGATAACTGTTGAATATTGCACTGGTCCTCCTGAACAAAATATATTATTTAAACCAGAGCCTGAGGAAAATACTCATTAGGGTTGTAGACAGGGGCTCAACAACCTACTTTCTGACAAAATGCAGACACATTACAGCCCTCCCCCCCTTTTTTCATATAAAAACACATTTGATTTTAAATGATATCCTCCTTGGTTTTCTGATTGGATGCTGATCTGCTCCGTCTTTTCAGACACAACATCTTTTTACCTATTTGTTTTTTTTTTTTGCACATGAACATCGATTTTACTGCTTCTACTTGTGCTCTTGATTTGTCTTACATTAAAACGATTTTGATTTGTGTTGACTGGGAGCATACTGTCTTAATATGTCTGAGTTTGTATTACAGAATTGACTCTAAAGCTAACTTTGACTTTTGACTCTGTAGGGTAAGGGCTCAATGAGGACATTTAAACTCAAATGCATCATTCCTAAGTTCTTAATTTATCTGTTTTATGATTCACTGTCTGTAAAACTTCTCTTCCCTGTCTGAACAGCAGAACCACTAACTGGTTCCTTTGTGTTTGTTGTCGTTATCTGTTTTAATGAAAGTCCTGATGAGTACATGTTAAGACAACTGTCACCTGCCATTTTACAGTAGATTTAGATAACCTGAATATTTACAAGCTTACATGCGCCACTGGTTGTATACTGGGACATTAGCAGTAGCTAAAAGGTCATTGTCTTGGTAACTGAGGCCTCCCTGAACCATCTTTAGAAAGTGCTCTGCTGCCCTACTGGGCTAAACTGCCTCTGTGCCTTATGGAGAATATGGCCGTCCTGCCTGAACAATCATACAGGTGGCAAGTTACAAAGTGAGATGGCAAAGCAGGATCTTAATGCGCCTACTTTATCCATGATGCAAAGCTGTCAGCCAATGGTTTTGGGAAATTTCACACACACTGTAATAAGATGTTGTTTTGTTCTCCCCAGCTCAATCCAGCATCTCCATAGTAGATGGAGTGTTCAGCTGGTCCAGAACCGAATCGCCGACGCTCAAAAGGTCTGTGCCATCGGTTATCAGGACGCCTTCCAAGAAGCGAGCTTATCATTTAAATAATGTTTTTATTTGGTTTAATATGTCCTACATATTAGAATTTACAAAATCACAAATGGCAGTAAATGCTGATGTGTAAGCTTGTAATTGATGACCAATAAATGGATCTGATTGTTTTGTAGATGGAAATAAACTTAGGTGAATTTCTGTGTGTGCGTGTGTGTGTGTGTGTGTGTGTGTGTGTGTGTGTGTGTGTGTGTGTGTGTGTGTGTGGGAAGGTTGAACGTGTGTATCCCAGAAGGCTCTCTGGTGGCAGTGGTGGGACATGTCGGTTCAGGAAAGTCTTCACTGCTCTCTGCCCTCCTTGGAGAGATGGACAAAATTGAAGGAACTGTTACTGTCAAGGTGACTCTTTTCATACAAATGCAAATATATTATGGGCTATTATAATAATATATATTAAAATATTATTTTCTTTCACATGCTTGTTCTCACCTGGTCCCTCTCACCGTATTTTCCAGACTATAAGCCCTACCAGCCACTAAATCCATTATAAAGAAAAATAAACCATGAATAAGTTGCATGGACATACAGATATGTTAACTTAACATTAAAAGTTTAGATAATGATGTATTTATTATACTACAGTGCCCATGATGTATTGCATTTCCGTTTGCGGTGGCCATTTTTTAAAAACATACACGTCTCTGTCATGTAAAATCGTTTTATTGGGGTAAATTAATTAAGAATTTACTGGTGTATTTTTCATGTATAAGTCGCTCTGGAATATAGATCGCACCCCCAGACAAAATATGTAAAAAAGTGAGACATATAGAACGAAAAATACGGTACTTTAAAAAAAAAAAAAGGAAAGGAAAGTCTTTATTATTTGCTTATACAGCACAACAGATATGTAAAAGTGGCTATTTAAAATCACAAGGTGAACACTCTTTGTTTGTGATATAATGACATTTTCAAAGGTGTTAAGTTTTTCAAAACTATTTGTTCAAAAGCCTGGAGGATACCAAAAAAAATCCAATATCCATTGAGATTTGAAATATGATTGTGACTTTTTTTTGGTGTGTTCTTCCAAAGGGTTCTATGGCTTACATCCCCCAGCAGGCTTGGATCCAGAACTCCACTTTGAAAGACAATATCATATTCGGTCAGGAGCGGAGGGAAGCTTGGTATCATCAAGTGGTGGAGGCGTGTGCCCTCAAGCCTGACATTGAGCTCCTTCCTGCCGGAGATGAGACAGAGATCGGCGAGAAGGTAGTTTTATTGGTTTTATTCATAAGGGATAAGTGTTTGATCCATATTTGTCTAAATAGTCTACAGTTAAAGAAGAGTAGAGACCAAACACAAAAAAGAGCCAAGTCTCTGTCTCAGGCGGATAGGGAAGAATGTCTGGGGTCATTCCCACCGTCAAGTTTCAAACTTGAAGAAGCCTTTCAGTTGATATGTGAAACATCTTCTAGAACCAAGAAGTCCAATTCTCTTATTGAAGCTCTTAGGATTCAAATATTTTTACTGGGTTTTAAACTATACAAAGAATTAAGTCCCAACACAGTAACCCCAACAGAAACAACATAAAGTGACAATAACACTGGGGGGATAAATATATATGAAATATATATTGTGTATATATATGAAATTTCTATTTTTTGTTTTTTAGTTGATATTTAGATGTTACATTCGAGCTACAGAGCCTGTGAATCAATTATGTCCCAGTGTTTTCAGCAGGCAAGTGTAAGCGAAAATAATTTAGAAATGGCTGCATTGAATCTCTGGGTTGATCCCCTTATTGAAGCCCTTAGGAGGACCATCACATAAAAGACTGAGAATCCACACCAAATTTAATTGCAGACATACTGTACAAGGTTTAGAAAAAGTCTCATACTTGTATTTTAAAATTCAACAGATCAATTTTAAACATTATGATAAATGTCATATACATTCTGTATTGATTCTGCCAAACTGATTGATCATTACAGCCCTCGCTGCTTAAAAGCTGATGCTCTCCACCATCCAATATGGAACTGAACTGAAGTGGCCTTTTAAATTAGAGCGGGGGGGGGGCTTAGCTGCTGGAAAAATGTGCAGATCCACTCGGTGTTTATTCACCACACTGAAGAAATTAGGGAACTTCTGGAAGGTATTCACATTCATCTATAAAGTGTAAAGTTTAGTCCCCCCCGCCCTTTAATTTGCTGTGGTCTCTCCCATAACCTTTAAAAAAGTGTTTACTCGTGTTTTATTTAGTTAGAGCAGGTCGACATCAGCACCATCTGAGAAGAATCTTCCTAAAACGACCGCAAATCCAATAAAATACTTCAGCCTGGTACTTTGTAACATACATTTTACAGAAGAGGTGACGATTACTTTCATTAGAACCCAACCAGTCTATTCTAGTCCTTATTCAGATGGACATAATCTGATTGGGTAATCTTCGAAAAATGACACTTTAAACATTCGTTTTACAAAGGAACAGAAATCTACATACTGCAATTCTCAGGTGTTTTGGGGTATATTACTTTTTTGCTTCAATGTTCTTTGAGGTTGTGGTTGCAGGGACCCTCAACTCACTGATAGAAAAGGGAAAAAGAAGTCACTAAAGCTTTTTTTTTTAATCACATTTGTTAAATGCAAAACAACTTTGCAGATGTTGTAATGTCCAATCTCTAGTGCACAGGACAAACAAAATGGAACAAAATCTAAGAAATGCTAAATCTGGGTACAGGGCTGTCCTTCTGTGTCTGTTGAGGGGAATAGACCCACATTTATCTCATTTGTCTTCTGCACAGGGTGTGAATCTGTCTGGAGGTCAGAAACAGAGGGTGAGCCTGGCCAGGGCTGTTTACTGTGACCGTGCCATCTACCTACTGGACGACCCGCTGTCTGCTGTCGATGCCCATGTTGGGAAACACATCTTTGACCACGTTATTGGCCCGCAAGGGCTACTGAAAGATAAGGTGCGTACGAAACGTCCATCTAAAAGTCCAGCTGGGATCTGGAGCCTATCACACAGGCCGCTTAATAAAAAGCACGATGCACCCGGGAGGGTGGGGCAGTCCATAGATATTATTTTTTATATATTATTTATCATAAAGTACTTGTCTTCCATTAGCAATGTTACTGAATAAAGCAAGTTGGACCTGCACACAGCAAATTGTGCTTCCACTCTCTACCAGTGGATGGTACATATTATGTTTGAATAAAGAAATCCAATTAGTAAGAAAAATAAGAGCGAGCTCATGTCTTTTGGTAAAAAAAATTCAACCATTCTGGAGGGAAGTAACTTATGAAATATGTATGATGATATGAGTGAAATTAGACTTCTATTTTATTACTTGGGAAAGATACCAGAATCTTTAGCATACAAATACCTGTTAAAGATGTTTTTTTCTGCTCAAAATTAATAAGAAAAAGTTCTAAAACGTAAGTAAGAGGGACGGGGGTAAATCATGGGCAGACTGCAAAGGACAAAGCTTTTGGATTGAAGGCTTAGAGGCCTGATCCACACGGCAAAATAAATAAAAGAAGAATCCATTATGCTTTTAAAAAGTGGACTCTGAATTTGTGCAGACTCGCGTGCTGGTCACGCACGGGTTGAGCTACCTTCCCCAGGCCCACCTGATCCTGGTCTTGGTGGATGGAGAGATCACAGAGCTGGGCTCACACCAGCAGCTCATGGACCAAAACGGGGCCTTTGCCGAGTTTCAGCGGACTTACGCAACCATTGAACAAAGTGACAGCAATGGTAAGAAACACGTCTCCCACCCCCTCCATATATATAGTTTTATGCTATCCTTTTTTTCAACTTTGCCATTAAAAAACATTTACCTTGTTTCTTGTTACCATGTAGAATCTATGACAAGTGGAACAAAGGCAACAGAGAATGGAAGTATGGCCACTCTTGAAAGGTGAGTTAACAAGAAGCCATTGAAACTTTGATTGATTTTCAACTTGCCAATTGTGCCAACAAGATGACATTTGTGGTATTAAAGTGTGTTTAGTGGCAGAATATGAACCTTCCTTTAAACTATCGATTCTTAATGATTACCGTGGTGGTTTTAAAAAATATAATGCAATCAAACTATGCTTGTCCCATAAAAGAGGAGAGCGTCTGGTACATTTTTCTCCTCCAATGCCCCAGTACTGTGATTATATAAATTATGTACGAATGTAAAACCATATTTTATTTTGGAAAAACTGCCAGATGTAGTAAAAAAAACAAAGTCCATGAGACCAGTTCCATTTGCCTTAGTTGCTCCACAACCTTGCTTACACCCCATTCTTAGTGTTTTATCGTCTTTGATTAGTATAATCCTGTTTTGAAATTGATGGATTTTAAGGCAAAGACGCAGTAAAAGCTACAAGCAGTTGTCATGTTTTGGTAAAGCTCCATGGTAAGGACTGTGCTGCATCTTTGACCTTTGACATAAAATTAAAATGACTTCATTTATAACATTAGAAATATAAGTGACTGGCCAATAAACTGCAATGGAAACCTCTTCATCCGTCCTTGTATTATATTGCAGTGTATAAAAAAATAAAAAAATAAACTTTTATTTTACCTTCAGAGGTGGATAGAGTAAACAAAAAAGTATTAAGTACCAGTATTACTTTATAATTATGTTGATCAAATAAAAGTAACAAGCATTGATTTAAAAAAATCTGAGTAAAAAAAACACTATGAGAAAACTACTGCCTAACTGACGATTTTTTTATTTAACAAAATATGTGATTTAGCAATAGAAAGGTGATTATCTTCAAGTAAGACAAAAGTTTAAGACATTGTGTATATAAAACAATGTCTAAATAAAAAAATAAGACGGTAAAAATGTAAATATTGCCAAACAGTACAATTTATAAAACTAAAACAATCATTTCAACCTACCAAAGTTAATGTACTATGCACCTTTTGTCCTCCTGATCTGTTTTGACTGCTTATAAAGCACAAAAATTAAATATACGAAATGACCAGTCAATTCTGTGCTTCATCTTTTTAGTAAACCTGTTTCAAGTACACTCCCATGTTGGTTGCCTTTTATTTTTATTTAACCCCAGATTGGCCCACTTAGTCATTGCAGGAAGTCTTTGTAGGCCACTTTAAGTTGAGTAGAATCCAATTAATTGAACACATTTGAACAATTTGAAGTTTTTAATTTGGTTATGTATGTTTAGTTTGGCTTTTTTAAGTCGGCTTGCTGAGGATAGCACTTATATATTTTCGATTCACTCCCCCATACTGAAGATATAAAGACCTATCTGTCCATGCCATGAGAGCAGATTTTATGATATACCTACAAATTTTGCACATTAATGTTTATGGTGTCCCAGTATATTGTGCATCTTTACCCTTTTTTAAGCATGTGTGCTTATCTGTGCCTAGCAATCCAGGCTTGAGCAGTGTACCGACTATTGTCCCAACGGTCAAGGATGACAATAAGCAAAGCAAAGAAGCCAAAAACTCTGAGGTGGGAAAGCTGACAGAGGCTGACAAGGCCAGCACTGGAAAGGTATGTTGACCAAAGAATTCAGCACTTTCACTGATCAACCATAACATTATGACTACTAATCTGCCATGGAAGCTCAGACCAGTCAAGTCATGGTCGAGGAACATCTGACGGTGTGCTGCAGTTTCTTTTACCAGGACCTTAGCAAAACAGCATTTGTGCCCCTTGGCTGTAGGAAGGGTTTCTCTGTGTTGGGATTGCCCCCCAAGATGGATACTTTCATTGAAACGATGCATCCCACACCACATTGGTATAATTTTTGATAGTTGAGAGGTCAGAGGATCGTCGTTGGGGGAGTTATATTGCAACACTGTGTGCAGAAATGTCATAATGGTTTGGCTTTTTGGTTAAAATCCATGTCAATGCATGTTCTCACTTCCAAGTGCAGAATTCTTCCAGTTGGCACCCTCTTTCCACAGGTCAAGCTGTCTGTCTTCTGGGCCTATATGAAGGCCATCGGTGGGCTCTTGTCCTTCATCAGCCTACTGCTGTTCCTCACCCACCACCTTGTTTCCCTGCTGTCCAACTATTGGCTCAGTCTGTGGACTGATGACCCCGTGGTCAACGGCACTCAGCCTGACAGACTTATGAGGCTGGGGGTGTATGGTGCTTTTGGCTTTTCTCAAGGTAAGAAGGACTGAAAATGAGGAGAAGAATGTTTTTGGGGCTATGCTATTCAGGTTGCTAGCTTTTTTTTTAGGTGTAGTGGGACAGTCATACAGCCTTGTTCTTATCTTGCACTGTGGTGTTGTAGGTGTAGCAGTTTTCTGTTACTCCCTGTCCATGTCTATCGGGGGTATCCTGGCATCCCGCTACCTTCACCAGTCCATGCTGTACGATGTGCTACGCTCACCCATGTCTTTCTTCGAGCGAACCCCCAGCGGGAACCTGGTCAATCGCTTTGCCAAGGAGATGGACACTATTGACACTGTGATCCCAAGCATCATTAAGATGTTCATGGGATCCATGTTCAATGTGTTGGGTTCTTGCATCATCATCCTGATCGCGACCCCTTTGGTAGCGCTCATTATTCCTTTCCTGGGTCTGCTCTACGTCTTGGTGCAGGTTAGTTGAAAAGGCTTTTTATTCAACATGAAGCAATGTGTTTAGAAACTTCTACTGTTCCTGTGTTCCTCAGTTTGACTTTTGTTTTACCAATGTGACTGAGGTTGTCTTCTCCTTCTGTCCAGAGGTTTTATGTGGCGTCCTCTCGACAGCTGAAACGTTTGGAGTCAGTCAGTCGTTCGCCAATCTACACCCACTTCAATGAAACGCTGCTTGGTACCTCTGTTATTCGAGCTTTTGGCGAGCAGGAGCGATTTATTCACGAGAGTGACCAGCGGGTGGACCATAACCAGAAGGCCTACTTCCCTAGCATAGTAGCAAACAGGTCGGTAAGACTGCTACCAGTGCCGTTTTTTTTTTTTTAATAGCAATATCTCTCATCTTTGTTTGGAACACACCAAATCAGTCAGTTTTTTTTATATTTCTCCCTGTCTTTCATCAGTCACTTCAGTTGCTATGGTGAAGCCTGTGATTTGTATTCTCAACATTCCAACAAATGTTGCCTTTGTGTAGGTGGCTGGCGGTTCGCTTGGAGTTTGTAGGAAACTGCATCGTGTCATTTGCTTCTTTGTTCGCCGTCATAGCCAGGGAAAGCCTCAGTCCTGGTATCATGGGGCTCTCCATTTCCTATGCCCTTCAGGTAAACACTTCCATTTCTGTTGCTTAGCGTTCTCAAAGAATGGTGGAGAAAATATGTCTGTGTTTTTTGGGCACCACCTCATTGGACTTAGACTTACTGTCAGGGTTACAGTTATATTGTGTATGAGTTTATGGTGAGGGTTGGGATTAGGCATCAAGATTTTCGTTTCTATGTCATTTTGTTTTTTTTATTAGAACATGTTGTTGTAGTGCCACACAGTTACAGATAACATATATGCATACATTGTACACCAAATATAAATGTGTGCAGCTAGGCCACTATGCTATCTTTTTTTCTTTTTTTGAAAATTGAAAGAATAGTCAAACATGTAAGAGATAAAATACAGATAAAGAAAAAATACACTAAAAAGAAACAAAACCTAAGCACCCCTAATTTGTTGTAGGTGTGAGATAATGAATGACAAGTGACCAATGTTTTTCAAATAATGGGAAGTTTATCCATAAGTGTATATTTTATTCTCTCTAAATGGCGAGTGTAAGAAAGATAACTAAGCCAAGTCTTTGAGGGGGGTGCCTCTTTCTTTTTCCAATGCATGAAAAGTAGTTTCTGGCAACAATCAGACTATAGGAGAGGAAACCTTACAGGGACTTGTGTACATTTTCAACGTCATTTGACACTCCTAGAATAATAGTGCGTGGCTTAGGCTCTAACTCAATGTAAAGTATTTCGGAGATTAAACTGAAGATATTAAACCAAAAGATCTTGACCTCAGAACAAAAAGCAAAGCTGTAAAACAATGTGTCGTCTTCTGCGTGGCATCTGTCACGTATAGGGGACAACACACACCATTGATAAATATGTTCCAAACTCTTTTCCCATAGAGTGTCCCATATTGCGGTGCCCATTTATTTCCACCAATGTTTTTATTGGTGTGGAGTTCAGTGGACTGATAGATTGCAAGATGTCATATTTAGATATAAGATATCGATTTTTGCAAATGTGTTCTGACATAGTCTCCTATTTTCAAATACCTTTAAAAAAAAACATTTTTTTAAAAAAGCTATGTGTGACTTAATTTGTTTCCAAATACACACTGTACTATGGATTGTATAAAGACTTCTCAATAGTGCAAGGTGCCGGATTAGGCATAATGGTGATGGTGATAGTTAAAGTATGCTGTTCTCTTTCTTTTTTTTTGGCAGCTGACTGCCTCATTGACCTGGCTGGTAAGGATGTCCTCAGATGTCGAGACCAACATAGTGGCTGTTGAGAAAGTGAAAGAGTACAGCGACACGGAAAAAGAGGTAACTAGAAAAAAAATTCCAAAGACAAGCTTTGAAACCAATAAAACGTTGGAATTTCTCTGATCGGTCAGTTACACAGCATTGTAAGACACCAAAAAAAAAATCCTGTTTTTGTAGTCCAGACAGGATGATATGAAGTCAGGACATGGATGTTTACAGGTGTTCTTCTGCCCAACAGGCTGAATGGAAGAGCGAGGCCTCCTGCGTTCCCGCGGGCTGGCCCACTGAGGGGTGCATCCACTTCAGAGGCTTTGGCCTGCGCTACCGCCACAACCTGGACCTGGCCATCCGCAACGTCACCATGACCATCAAAGGTGGCGAGAAGGTGGGACCGGACCTCAGCTGACCGGAGGCCACGCCGGGGCGCCTCTGCTAACCCAACGCCCCTCTGGTTCTCACCAGGTGGGGATTGTGGGGCGCACTGGAGCCGGGAAGTCCTCCCTAACTCTGGGGCTGTTTCGAATCCTGGAGGCGGCAGAGGGTCAGATTCTCATTGATGGAGTGAACATTGCCAAGCTGGGTCTGCACGACCTCCGCTCCAGAATAACCATCATCCCGCAGGTCAGTGCAGAGAAGGCACAAAGGACATCTGCCTGCCACCTGTACATCCATAGAACAGTGTCACAGGACCTTATTACAGGGCTAGTCTTTCATTTTAGACATCTAAATGCTCAAATTGACCTCTAGAGTGATGACTTGCACTGATTCAAATGTTTGCTGTCTCCCAAGGATCCGGTGCTGTTTTCAGGCTCTTTGAGGATGAACCTGGATCCCTTTGAATCCTACTCCGATGAGGAGATCTGGAGAGTTCTAGAGTTTTCGCATCTCAAGAGCTTTTTGTCCGGCCTGCCAGGCAAACTCAGCCACGAGTGTAGTGAAGGTGGAGAGAACCTCAGGTATAACGGGCTGCAAATGCAGGCGCGCAGAAATATGGAGGAACAAAGCGCACCTAACTGACCCAGCACATAGCTTTTAGTCATTGCCCCCACATGGAAATTGCAGAAGGCGATCATGAGGGGAAGTTATAGCCTGAAAACACATCTATTCAGAAAACAGGGAAATCCCTTAAAGTTTTAAGTGCTCAGCCCTCATGTTGGCCTCGGTCATATCCAGCCCTAAGACTTGCTTTAGGACCTCAATCAGCCCCAGATGGGTTTGCTTGTCTCCATTCCATTTAAGCATTTCTTTAAACATTAGGGTGTCCCCTCAGGGACTCAGGGGAGGGACAGTCTCCCTCTGCACAATGCAGACATCACTTTAGAGATACCAGGGATATCGGGAGGAAATTACTCCCAGAACTGGTTTTAACGGAAGGAATGCGGTATAACGGTAGTGCTGATACTAGGCTGTATATCTTTGAACAAAGAAAACAAAAAAAGTCATTGTCATGATTTGAGTTCTGGTATTGGGAAAGGGCAAGATGGCAGAGTTTGACTCTCCTACTAATCCAGGGAGTGGGCAGCTCCTGGCCTCTTTGGGTTGCTGTACTGCAGGTTTTAGAGGTTTCCCTGCGTCAACACGCCTGATTGAGATACAACTGACCTTCTAAAGATGGTTCAGCCCTTGTGTTGATGTGAATCAGGTGCATAGAAGCACGGAAACCTCTAAAATCCTGCCGGACAGCGGCCCAAAGAGGCCCGAAGAGGCCTGGAGTTGCCCACCCCTGTTCTAATCTCTTCAGTCAAGAGGGTAACCTTTTGCAAAATGCCAAGGATGCTAGCATGAGGCAGGGAATGTGTACACTTTGCTCAGCAGCTCCATCTGTGTGCCAAACATCGCCTTTAATTTGCTTCGACGTTCAGGTTTAAGGCATTATCTGTAAAACGAAGACCATCTTTACCAACAAAGTAAACTCTAGTTGGTTGGCCGCCTTTATTGTCAGTGGCAGAGATTTGCTCACCCTCTTCATTATGCAGTAGCACATTGTAGATTTAACACCATCCAGGAGCAAACCGATGCTAAACCTGTCTTGTAGCAATCTCCTAGGCGTGTTTCACTCATTAGACAGATAGTAACTGCCAACAAGTTGAACCAGTTTCTAAAAAGCACTAAATCGCTAAAGTACTTAAATTCAGTGATGGAGAAATCCCGGACACATTTACTTCAACACATTTTTGTGAATTGCATTGCTTAGTCCCGGTGTTTTCATAGCGCAGATAGAGCTTAACCAAATGTGTTTCCCTTCAGCGTGGGTCAGCGGCAGCTGCTGTGCCTGGCCAGAGCTCTGCTGAGGAAAACTAAAATCCTGGTGCTGGACGAGGCCACCGCCGCCGTCGACATGGAGACGGATAACCTGATCCAGTCCACCATCCGCTCCCAGTTTGAGGACTGCACCGTTCTGACCATAGCTCATCGCTTAAACACCATAATGGATTACACCAGGTGGGAATGTTTTATTCTTTCATACCTTTTTGTATTTTTAAGCCTAAAAGGTTTTGGAAATAATAGCAACAATAGTAGTTCTGATACAACACTGTGCGTCCTGACCAAAAGGAAATGACTGTTGTTTTCTTTAGGGTTCTGGTGTTGGAAAAGGGCGAGATAGCAGAGTTTGACTCTCCCTCTAATCTCATCGCTCAGAGAGGAACCTTTTACAGAATGGCTAAGGATGCCGGGCTGGTGTGAGGCAGGAGGTGTCTGCACTTTGTTCAGTGGTTTATTGTTACCGTGCCAAATACTGCCTTAATTTGCTTTGACGTTCAGTTTGAAAGCAATTTTTTTTTTTTAAACAGCCAACTCTGTTACACTGAAATGGGTGCTGTTAGTGTCCCAGCAAACATTATCTAATAAATTTACTACCACATCACTTGGTTTGCCAATGAATGTACCGTATTTTCCGGACTATAAGTCGCACCAGCCACTGTATCCATTATATAGAAAAATAAACCATAAATCGAGTGGATCTGTACTTATGGTTTATAAGTCACATGGACATACCTGTATGTTTACTTAATATGAAAAGTTCAGGTGATAATATATGTTGTACTACAGTGCCCATGATGCATTGTATTTTCGTTTCCGGTGACCATTTTGAAACATAGAGCGACTCTGTTATGTAAAATTGTTTTATTACGGTAAATTAATTGAGAACCTACCAATAGATTTTTCATGGCCAAAACATGTAAAAAAAAACAACACTTTTTTTATTTATTTAAAGAAGTGCGACTTATAGTGCGAAAAATACCATAATCACTTTGCCCCGTGCATGCTAAAATATCATGCCAGCTTTTTCAGATTTTCGTTTCAGTGCACAAGAACACAGCTTTTGGGTTAAAATATAACAAAAACTGCTTCTACGGTACATCATGTCTTATTGTGTACATTATATTGTTTGTTTCCTGTACGACTTCTTGTTGCATGACAGTTTACAATCTCAAAAATGCAAACCGTTTTATAGATGAGAACCACTATTTAGAGTTTGGCTTGTACTACCAAGCTTGGATACAACAAATTTGCATTGACCTTTTTTTTTCTTTTTTTTGTGTTTAACTTTTACTGTTCAATTGGAACTGTGTATTTATTGTGTATCTATACATGTATATATGTATGTATATATGTATGTATGTGAGGTTTGTTTATTTTATTTTTTTGTTGTCTTTTTCTTGTATAAATATTGAAGAAAGACAAGAGTGTGACTATTTTGACTATAGCAAACAGGAAATTAATATTATATTTATAATTAATATATTCAGTGTCAATTTCTGTGAGGATTTTCTCATTTTTATCTATGTGAATTTAAGAATAAGTTTAGATTATCATCTGAACATTTTTTAATTCTCATTTTCCCATTCTAATATTTTCAATAAGTAAGCAAACTTTATCCATTTATTCTGGGCATTTTAATTTAATTAAACTACAATTCCTGTTTGAGTTGATTTGGAGAATTGGTTCATAAGTGGATCATCACAATTAGCTGCACAATTATTTAAGTCCTGGGATTGTTGCAGTTGTGTTTTAAATTGCTATGACACAAGTTGAAATGTTTCGTGTGAGTTTATTTCGAAAGTATCTATAATTAACTCAGAGGTTAGTGTCTGAAAGCCAGTAGGTAGAAGTTCTTTCTCAGTAAAGCTTAATAAAACCTATCTTTAAAAAAAAAAGAGAAAAGCAATAACATTTTGTAATGGCAATAGCTACACTACTCAAACAATTGTATGTTTGTTTAAAAAGTTTTGCTATAATTTATACCTATATGATGACCAACATTTCGGGAAAATAAAAATATTAGTAGGAAAAGGCGAATACAAAATAATAATAATAATAAACATAAGTTGGTTATAAACAGTTGGTAATGGAAGGAGTGACGGTTGTTTATGATATAATGCTGAAAGATCCTCGTGTCCAGGTTGTGTAACTAACGAAGCTGGAACTCGACTACAAGTCCCTTACTCTATATGGGAAAGGACTCCAGGCCCTTTTTTCATAATTTCAAACATATTGCAACCATAATGCACAGTGACGGCAACGGTTGTTGGGACTTAAAGAATAAATCTTTTGGAGAAGTCGCTGTGGCTCGGAAGAAAACTCGGTTTCCCATCAGTCTTCACCATCCGGTTCCAAGGGAAGGAAGATGGCGGCTACGAATGAAATTGGGATGCCGCTGCGCTCCTGAAACGCGAAAAAGCTTTTTGATGCTTTGTTTTAAATATTGCTCCATTATTTTATTAACCACATGAATTTTAGACGCTGGCTTTTATCTCAAACATCGTAATATTGGACTGAAGGTAACAGCAGCACTCTAGCACGATTCTTGTGATGCTAATTTTGCTACCTTGTTAACCGAATGCTAGCATGAATTACATTTTAGAGATGCTCTGCGTCTATAAACAACGCAGGTATATTTTATATCGGACCCAAAATCAGATTTTAAGTCATATACTCATCAATGCAACACAATTAATGTAAAACGTTTCGTTAGTACGCCTACGGTTTTAGCTAACAAATAATTAGTCAGCGATGAAGCTAACGTTGTTGAGTACAGACATATAGCATGTCATTTTACAGCCAATTCTGTTCTTACAAACGAACAAAAAAAGCATGGCATGGGATTTACACATCTTAGAGGTTATCTAGTTGTCTGCACGAATTTATCTTTAATAGCTGTAAAATGTCAGTGCGTAATAAGTGCTGAGTGGTCAAAGGCTTCACTCGTAGTTACAATGACGATGCTTTTTAAATATGAAATCTACATTTTTAAGAGAAATTATTATGGGTGTTCTTTCTGCATGATATCAATTCCACCCATGACTACATAAAGTTGATGTGGGAGACTGATTTGTGTATGTTTTTAATATAGATTTGGTAGTTGGATATTCGTTAACATTGATGTTATTACTGTTATTAGTGCTGTTGTTTGACCTTAAGTCCATTACAAAGGTGTTGATTTTATTATAAGTTTACTTATTTGATGATAAAAGATTATCTGACTTTATTCAAGCAGACCTGCGCATCTTAGTTACCTTTTTTTTTAAAATTATTATTCAAGCCATATTTGCTGCTTTCTGACCTTCTTTAAACTAATGGCCTTTCCTAGTTCAATCAAATGAAATGATAAAAAAGGAGTGCATTTATTATCTCCTTGAGCAAAGGAAAAAGATAATTTTCTCCCACAATTCCTTGCAGCTGCAACATTATAACTGACATTAGTTTAGTTTACTCTCATCCAGTCATACCAGCTATACCATTTTTATTTTGTACCTTTTTTGTTTTCTGTCTTAATTCTAAAGTGTGTTGTAATTGTAATTTATAACTATTACAATAATCTGTTGAGCTTTGATCTCATTTAGTTTTTGTTGGATCTTCATGAAACATCTATATGTTTTCTTATTGACACCTAGATCACAATTAATTATGTTTTTCCCTTACAGAATTCAGTTAGCAGTTTTTACAGTTTTAATATCTTCCTCTAGTAAGCAGTGAAAACTAAGATTTATAAATCTATTCATCATCTTAGATTTACCTTATCAAAAGGCAAACTTAGTTTCTCTTTAGCGGAAACAAACATGGTGATCTATTTATTTATACCCTCTCATGTAAAGAAAAAATGGCCTTTGTTTCTATGTGTGCATTTAAAGATATTTTCAGTAAGTCTCTAATGAATTTCTCAGATTAGTTGGCAACATTTTGGATATAACTTTTGCAGTAGACTCATTTTCTCCTTCAGCAGACCAGTTCCACCCAGCATGGCTGCACATCATGAGGCGTGCACACCCTTCCCTCACTAGCTGCTGAACATATAGCCGGCAAAAAGCTGACGTGGCAATATTTTGACGTTTGAAACTGTTTGGGGAGCTACATGAGAGCAGGGTTGTTTACCCAAAGCCTTTTTTCTCTTTTAAATACTCATCATAAATGAAACACTAGGAGGTCGTGAGAAACGGTGCACTTATAGGATAGCGTTGGAGTGTGGAAAAGATATGCCTGCTTGTCCTATATTTGTAAGAATTAGAACCATTTCAAATGTGCATCTCCGCCTCTTGTCCCTCTTTTTGTTTTTCAGTAAGCTGCTCACTTCGTTTGCCTCGTTGGAACTATGGTGTGTTTTTCTGAAGAAACCATACCAATTTGACACAAAAGTTGAGACTTGACGAATCAGCAGGCAGAGGCTGACATGAAACGGTAATGTTTTTTTTGGGGGGGGGGGTTAAAAAGAAAGGTATTAATTTTTTAGTTTTTGTTTTGTTGTCTTATTTCAGTGATGACGAATCAATCAAGTATTAAATCAGCTGATGAGTCTTAAATGACAATTTGATCTTTATAAATAAACATATATTTTTGATGGAAATAGAGGGATTCATATTAAGTTATTTGTTACAGTTTATGAATACAAACTCATCCCAATATCCAATGTGATGGACTATATCTGTTGCATAGAATACTAAAGCATGAACTTTAGTTGTGCTTTAATGATGTGTGAGAAATTAAACTGATAAAAAACAACTTCAACAACATAATTCCATCCCTCCTTGTGGAATATCACTGTCAGTCAGCGTGGTCTTACTGAAGCAATCAGAGGTGATAACCATCTTCAGACTCTCTCATAAGATATATTGACTGAGAAAAATGTGCTTTTTGCTAAATATAAAGTGTGCTAATCAGAAATAAATCTGCATAGTCTATCATGTATGGAACAAAGGTGTTATTAGCCTCAAAGGAACATTTTTAAAACAAAGCATTTCTATTCATTTTTACAACCATTCAGTCGAGTCGTGCAATCTTTTTAACCAGCATTGTTTGAATTTTTTCTTTTTTTAGATTTTATTCATTTTTTCATTTTATCAGGTTGTGAGTACATACAATATTTGGACTTAAATTGTTTGAAATTGACCATATCATTACACATCGGTAATACTTTTACATTACATTCATTATAAATACACTTTCCATTGAACAGAGTAGTTTGAATAACACTGGATAACATGTTTTTGCTGTATATCCTCCCCCAGGTATCTGTACATTTTTGTCTCATTAATTGGGGGCACATAGCTTGTTGTAATCCAAGTAGGAGAGACGGTAATTACTCCCCTCTGGAACAGGCATCCATAGCCACTTTGTATGATTATCTGGCAGGGAATATTTACATTATATGGAACAGCAGCAGGGATGACGCTTCTTTTTGGTAGATGTTCTGCATAATATTAACTTGAGTCATTGGCCTTGAATTAGCTTTCAGGCATGTTTTTCATTGTTTCGTTTAGCTCACAATGAGGAATCTTTAAAGGCTCTTTGTGTTCTATTGAATTTTGAGTTTTTATTCCACTGTGTGGCTCTGTTGTAGCCACCCAGACATTGTAAAGATTTGTATCTTTACAAACCTCTATCTGTATCTGTACCTGGGATTGGGTTCTGTTGATGAATAACTGGAGTTTAGCTTCTTTCCTCTTACTTCCTGTTACCCTATGGGCATAACTTAGGTAGGTCCCATCCATTAGTAACTGCTTCATATGCGCTGTGTTTTTTTATTTTGCTTGCATTCAATGGCTGTAATAAGTCTATTTTGTTATGTTATAGATAAGTTAAGTTAAACTCTTGGTGGATTTCTTCCACAGTAATAGACACTTGTTCTTCATCTGAAGTCAGATGAAGCAGAGTACATACTGTTTAGTACCTTGTGGCTATAAAGTATCCTACGTTTTTCCGTAGTCACATATTCTCATTCGATCTCTCTTTTGACCTCGTTCTTGTTTAGGCTTCTGGTTCCAAATGTTCCAAATGTTTTTTTAACTTATTCATAAAGCATCCTCATTTATTTATGTTTGTGAATTTTAGTCAAGAAGATTGGACATTTGTTTTAACTGAATTACAACAACTTAGCAAGCTGTCTGATTTTTTTTGTTTTTTTCTCTTTTCCCACTAGGTTTTCTCATGGTACCATTTTCATGTGAGGGGTTTTGTCCTTCAAGTCAAAAAAAGCTTTCTGCACAAGCGGTTTTTAAACTTCATGGACTTGATTCAAACACCAGGCATCAAAAGAAAACCCTCCACCTCCAAAAGTGCATTTTAAAAAATTTGCAGCACCCTGCTACTCCCCTCATATCTCCGTCATTCCTTCATCTGATCCACCTTCAGACTTATCCTTTGCCTCCTCTTTAATGGCATCCCTTCATTTCCCCAAAACCTTGTAAGAAAACAGAGGGAGTTGTGCAGGGTGTCTTCTGTTTCTACCACTCTTGCTACTTAATCTCTTTCGAGATCTTCCACCTACTCCACCTGTTTGGATTACTCTACTTAGGTGTCAATGAAGCAAAGAGTTGATTGTGAAGTTGATGGCAGGAAAAGGGGGATGGATAACCCTTTCAATACAACTGATAGGAATAAAGAAAGAATGGTAGAGATTGAACAAGGAGAAGGGGAGAAATATGACCCCTTTGACCCCACTGGTTCTCCAGTGTCAGATGTGGATGACGGAGATGAAATAGAGGAGGTAATCAAGAGACGTTTTGAAGAAACTAATTCAAAGAAAGAGGCAGAACCTCCAGATTCTACAGAAACCTTGGCTGGCCTGGCAAGTCCTTGTTTGACAATCGAACTACCTCACAGGAGGAAAGTGGAAAGCAGGACCGCCAAAGCTAAAGGCAAGATAGAGAAAATTGACTCTGATTGTTCTGAGATTGAGGAGGGGGAGATAGTCGGAGTTGCAGACAAAGATGGTAACAAAAGACCTACTGTGGAAGTGTTATCCATTTTAACTCCAGAAATGTCCTTCTTTGGTTCAAAACAAGAGCGCATTCTCCGGGTGCTTGAGGGAGACCAGTTTGTGTCTGTATGTACTGAAGCAAACTGGGAGGATGACCGAAAGCTTGAGGATGAGCCTGTGGTGGGAGTGGAGGATCTTAGAAGAAAGTTGGTCAATCGGAGGAAGGAACGGTATCTATCTTTTCCTGCTTCTTCCCCGCTCTCTCCTCAGCCTCTAATGTCTCCTACCCTTACTCAACCAAGCGCATCATCATCATCGCCTCTCACACTTTCTGTAGAGCAAAACACCAAGAATCCCAAGTCCTCTGGGAGTTTCAAGGACCACATTCAAAAGAAAAGCAAGGAAAGGAAGGCCGGGGATAAGGAAGTTCGGAAAAAAAAGAAAAGGAAAGGCAAAGAAGGAGATCAGAAGAGGAGCAAAGAAAAGGAGCAAGAACACAAAGCTGGGAAGGAGGTGAAATCGAGGAGGAGCAGCAGGAGCAGTAGCCGGAAGAGGAAGAAAAGACACTACAGCAGCCCAGATGTCTCACAACCGTGCAACTCTTCAGGAAAAGAGGGTCACTCTCAGCGCTCTTTTTCAAGCTTATCAGAGGAACGACACAGAGACAGGGAAAGAGACAAAAATCGAGACAGAATTACAGATAGGGACAGAGAGAGAGACAAGGAAAGAGGCCGAGAAAGAAGTAAAGGAAGAACCAGAGACAGGGAGAGAGATCACAACCGAAGCAGTAGCCGTAGAAGAAATGAAAGGATGTCAGAATCTATGTCTAGAAAGAGAGAAACTGACATAAGCGGGAAAAAGCATTCAAACAGCAGAGAGCGTGGCCTCTCTAAGAGGTCCAAAAGAAGTAGGGAAAAGAGGGAAAATTGTAGACACCGCGAGAGGGATGCCCGCCCTGTTGTACCTCCATCTATTCAAGACCTTAATGGATCCGACCTCTTTGCTATCAAGAGAACGATTACAGTCACAACCACCACTACCACCACCACCGTACCTGGCTCTCCGAGACTATCATCTCCCTGTCGTTCAACACAGGTTGTTGATCCCTATAAGAAAAAAAAAAGAAAATGGAGCTCACCTGGAGACATGGAGGACCAGAGAAGTTGTCACAGCCAATCACAGTCACTCTCACCATCAAGGTATCACAGTTACATGTCAGACCGCTACTCGGATAAGTTGGAAATTGACATGTTGTCTTTGGATGGTGAAGCTTTGGATTCAGACTATCCGTCTTTGGAGGATACACCTCCTGCTGCTCTGCCTCCCAAACCACCAATCACCTGCTCTAAAGCTAAAACTACCTCCAAGACTGGACAAACCAACCCAAAAAAGAAGTCTCACTCACTAAAAAAATCTGAATCCTCATCCAACAGAACTACAAGAAAATGCCTCTCTTCACTAATGGTGAGTTCGGGCTCGGCCTCCACCGCACCAAGTATTGCTCCCGTCAAGCGAGCCAGAAAAGTGGGAAAAGACAAAGACCGTGACAAAGGCAGTAGAAAGGAAATCAATCGTCCCATTAAATCCAAGAAGGAGAACAGCAGTAGTCGTAAAAGTAAGCTTCAGTCCAAGGTGTCTGTGCTCGTCCGTGAGGGCGTGAGCAGCACCACGGGGGCTTCAGTTGGTTCTGGAAAGCTTAGCATGGACCTCCTGGGACAAGGAGGGACAGGAGGGGGGGCTGGGAGCTCAGTTGTGGGTGGCTCGATTGCAGTGGTCTTCTGTAGGGACAATGAAAGCCGGTCACCATTTCTCAAACCTTGCTCGGAGCCACTGTCACTGGGTGTACGCAATAAAGTGGGGGCTGCACCATCTCTAACTAGTCCCTTGATAAGGAAGTCCAAGAAAACAAAACCCAGCTCGATCACATCCACCTCCTCGTCTGCATCCTCTCCATCATCATCTCTGCCAACCAAGCGCCGGCATCGCCCGGCCAAGAAGACGAGAGAGAAAAAAGGAACTCGACCGGCAGCCGATGGCAACCAAACTAAAGCAGCGTCTGAATCCTGGGAGGGATCCTCCTTTGATGTTCAGTCAGCTGGTGGAGAGGGCAGCAAGTCAGCCAGTCCACAGATCGACCAACCAGGCCCTGTGCCTTGTTCCTCATCTTCCTCGACGTCCTCCTCCTCCACCGCGCCCCACCCCCCGGCCTCTCCCCCACACACACCTCCAACGGCGGCTGCTTCTCTGCGTGACAACAGGGAGTCTTCGCCGGACTCTCAGACCGTGGACAGCAGCTGTAAGACACCGGACCCTTCTTTTCCGGCCGACGATCACCCGGCTCAGACCAGTCCTGCCCCCCTTGCCTCCAGTCCACCCAGTGTGCCCACTTCTCATGGAGCCAGTCTCAGCAACGCCTCGTGCACCCCAGCGGCCAAGCCGCCGCCTCTAGATGATGCACCAAAAGCCCTGGCTTCTCCTCCTTGTTCATCTTCGTCAGCCAACAGTGGCCTGAACTCCCTTTCTGGTACTCTGTCTTCATTGGACTCCTCATCCTCAGTGTCCTCTTCATCTGCTAGTAAGCCCCCCCCTCCCCCCGTCCCTCTAGCAGCATCTGCCCTCCCCTGGAGTCTACAAACTGGAGTGGACTGCACAACTGGAGGCGTTTTAGCATGTAAGTTTGTTTTTAAAAAATATACCGATGTCCGCCATGATATTGTGAATCCTGCCAGGGTAGCAGTTTATACACTTAGTACATCTGGTACTGTTGTTGGTTAGTTTCATTCTCATGTGATACAATGGAATTCTGTTGTTAATTTGTTGCTATTATTTATCTTTGCTTTACCATTTTGTAGGGATATGTTTGTAATCTACAGAAATTCAAATGTTGTGTTACACTGCATTGAATGGCAGTGTTTGGCAGTGTAAAGACGTATAAGAGCAAGTCTTTTTTTATGATTTTATCTTTCTCCTTTTCAGTAACTGCTCTGCTCTTCAAAATGGAGGAGGCCAATATAGCCAGTAGAGCAAAAGCGCAAGAGTTAATTCAAGCAACCAACCAGGTGAGAGAACATGAGCTAAAAATCATAGATGACCAGCTCCAGGATTCACAACACCTCCAAAAAAAACAAGAAACAGACAAAGAAATATAAATAGAATCATGGAAACGATTAGTGCAATTGAGGAATAAAAGTCTTGGTTTTTGACACTGAAGCACATAAGCACCCAGCCCCCCAAAAAAGTATAGCCTAGCTTAGCCTAGCTTAGCCAAGGGGCAAAGCCCCATTAGCTGAATTGTAGGTCAACTGGGAAATGAGACAGCTGTACTATTGGCTTCAAAATCATACAAGATTAGTTTTTTTTCTAGTATTTCTGAGTCAGTTCTCTTATTGAACCCATTAACTGTGCAATCTTATCCCTAATTCATTTGTATTTAGCGAGGAAGCAGAAGAAGCTTCAGTGTCTTCAATGGTTATTCATTTGTAACATCTCTCTCAAGCAGATCTTCTCACAGACCAATCAGAGCCAGTCCCAGCAGCACGCTCCTCCCTCCTCCCCCTCCTCGTCCTCACAGATCCCCCCCCCTCCTACTTTGCCACCCCCCTCGGGTCTTAGTCCAGCCCAGTTCATCCTCCACGGCTCTCTCCCATTGGTCAGCTGCACCAAAACTCCACCGTCTCACCTGCACCCCTCCATGGGGGGCGGCTGCGCCCAGACCCCCCCCTCCGTGGTGTCGGTGGGGCTGTCGGGGGTGACTGGGGGCTCCTGCGACAGCGGATGGGACAATGAGAGCAAAGACCCAGAAAAGGTACCTCTAAAAATAACCCAAATCTTGTATTCCACACGTCTTTACAGCCGTTTTTTTTTTTATGACATTATGACTGCTTTGTGATTATTCAGTATCTGAAGAAGCTGCACACACAAGAGCGGGCTGTGGAGGAAGTGAAACTCGCAATCAAACCTTACTATCAACGCAAAGACATCAACAAGGATGAATACAAAGACATCCTCAGGAAAGCTGTACACAAGGTCAGTCTTAGCCTGTGTTTGGAAGCATCAGGCCTAAAGACACTGAAGTCCTAGTGTTGCTATGACGATGTCCTAAATCACATGCTATCTAACCACACGCTGTTTCACCCTCAGATCTGTCACAGTCGCACTGGAGAAATCAACCCCGTCAAAGTCAGCAACCTCGTAAAGCTGTACGTCCAGCGGTACAAGTACTTCCGGAAACATGGTCGGAAAATGGTTGAGGAGGAGAGGGATGCACTACATTCCTCTGCCTGATTAGACTTTTCATTTATTTCTTTGTTTCTTTTTTTGACTACCACCCACACAGCCCGGCAAGGCTGAAAATCCATACTGTCTGTCTTTTTTTTCCCTCCAATCAATACTTTTTATTGTTTTTCAAAACTCATTCTGTCTGTTCTCATGTCATTGCAGATTCCTGTATCTCTATATTCTAATTGTAAATATATCTCAAATATAGTTTTTATTATGAATAGTTTCAGGAAACGGAGGCTGTCTTGTGTGAAATAATACATTTCAGTACACAACCTTGCAATAAATACGTTTTTAAAGATGAAACGTTAGTTTTTTCCACTGTATCTAGTAGGCATTTCATAATGTTGAAAAGGCTGAGAGACCCGCCACATCTCATCCACATCTACGTCTCTTTGTATCTAAGCATTAGCTGTCAGTGAGTTTTACAACAGAATTTTAAACCTTTGAGTTATTGTATTTTGTGCATGTGTACCTGAACTGGTTTAATTGATAACATTTCTTTATATGAAATCTTGCCCTACCAAATATAAACACGTCAATTCAAAGACTGTCAAAGTACACGTCCTAGCAACAGCTGGAGTGCCGGAACCTTCTGGAGCAGGAGAAGCCTGCAACACCAGGGAACTCACAGGGGGAACAGTCATTTAGTATACTTTCTACCTGGTATGATGGACCTGTTGAGAATAAACATTTTTTTTAAAAGTTCAGATTTAAGTTACAAGATGCTGCGAGTCAACAGTATAGATTTCCTAGAAAACCTTGAAAGAGCAGTTTCAGATTTGGCATTACCAGGTATTCAGAGGTGGTTCTACGATTTCTGTTCACAAATAAGCACGGATGGATGCATCTTAAGATGCAACAAGCCTCTAGAAGCGTCGTCCCAACATAGACTGGTGGATTTCCTAGGCGTTAGGATAAATTGCCTTTGCAGCTTCAGACTCGTCACAATGAAAAATGACCATTTCAGAATTTGTCAGACAAGGAATCAGGTCACTAGAATGAATTTTCCACTTTGGTCTTATCCTTGAGCTAAATCAAGCCCCAGCCACCTTCACTACTGATAAACTTCAACCAGTTGGACCATTTGAACATAAGTGTGCTTTAAAAAACACTCACTATTTGGTCTTAATGGCAAATCTGCTGATTGTTCCAATTTTTTATACTGCTGATGTTTTCATTTCAAAATGATTGTTTTCCCAGTCTGATTTACAATATCTTGTATAGATAGTGTACCGATAACTGCTTATACGTTGTGCCTTGGAGACACTTATTTCCATACTTAAGTGGCATACTTCTGATCAGTTAGCTATGCAGTTCTGGGGTGCACGGCTCCAATAACTTCTGAATGTTCATATTGCTCCATATATGTTGAACTGCCCCAAGTAACAACAAAAAACATGAAAATGTGGCACCAAGGAATAACATATTAGGATGTATTTTTGTTCGGCCCTAATTATCTGGCACGTCCCCATTGTTGAGTGAATATCATGCTTGATCATCTGAATCATATTCTGTAAAAAAAAAAGACCCAAAAAAAGCTTTTTGTTTTTCAATAAAAGCTAAGCAGACATAAAGATTGTTGTAGACCTTTCTCCTAGTCTTTCCAAAGTAGTACATAGATTGCATAATGTATGCACATGTCCAATATTTGATTCTGCATGAGTTTCAGATCCTGCTGCATTATTCCAGTGAAGATTGAAAAACAAGATATAAATGCAGCTTTAAACTTGGGCTCTTGGGTGTTAAATAGCAAAATGGTGACAATGTTTCATTTGAGAATGAGGAAATTCTCCAAAAACATTTTATCATGTTAAATTTGGCACCAATACTTTCAGTTTTTTAAACAAAGTGTGGCTAGTTCTGGGTTGAGTTCAGCAAAAACAAAAGCAGAACAGTGGTCTTATAACAGAGGTGCACATTTATTGACTTACGCCAGTGGTTTTTAAACACAGCCACACCATTAAAGCGAACAGGATGGGCATGAGAATGATTATTACTCCAATAAGTCATGTTTCTATTCCCAGTCAGATGGTCCCCTGGCAAGTTTTTGTGTTTGAATACAGCCCTGAGTTTGGTTTTCTAGCCCCAACCACAGTGGCTGGAGGGGTAAATGTTTGATATGGAGCCACTCTGTCCCAGAGAAGGACCACCATCCAGTTCTTCTTGATCAGCCACACTGTTCCCAACATTTGTTGCTATCAGTCACAGATCATAGAAAAATAGATCAATCCCAAGTTTCTATTCATGATGGCTGCCATCAGTTATGAGCCTTGAGTAACCAGATCCCAGTATACATCAGTGAAGCAGGAACTCTTCTATATTTAATATCATGCTTAAAGCTGTCTGTTTTTTATAGATATTGGAATAGTTTAGCTTATATCTCATAGGGGGACATTGATGCACCTCTCCCCACACTGCTTACTTTACCATCCATGTACTCATTACATTATTATTGTCAGAAACTGGTCTCTGCTTTTTGATATGAAGGTTGTTTCTGCCTTCTTGTCGTCAGAGCTTTTATAGCTCTTGTACATGCTCGGGATGGGGATTTGTCAGAAGGGAATATGCCTGGAGTTTGACAACGATGCAGACATGGCACACGAGGACAGAGGGGACTGTGGGAAAACTGATATTTATCTATTAAAAAAAAGCATAACAAAACCCACAGCTGGGCAAAGATACCAAAAACTTCACTCAAAACTCAACTTAAGAAAAAGAAAAAGAAGTCTAGGAATAACAAGCAATCTAAAGACCAGGAAATAATCAAGTAGTAAATAAGGAAAGCCCTTAGTTAAAAACCTGCATCACTCGCCTGCCTGCTCCCCAGCGTCTGTCCTGGACAGTTTACAGCCAGCAACGGTCTCTAACCTAAGCCCAACCCCTCCTGGAAGACAAGTAAGCACCATCTGATTATCCAAATGATGGACTTAACTTGGCCCCAACTGACGGTGACTCTCATTATAGTGATCCTCTAGACAAGAATCTCCTTGGATCCTCCCGTCATCGCACATACATCTCAGCGATGTGAATAAACTATCATTTTCTTTTATTAGGACTCGTGTGAGCTCTTGGGTTCCACCTTTATGTGCATATGGGACTAGCAATAGCTACAAAAAGAAATCACAGGTCTAGTCGGCGGCCAAAGGGGGCCTGGCCCCCTCTGATAAATGTTCTGCCCCCTCAAACTAAATTCCTCAAAATTGATTATCAAATGTCCACGGCGATGCCATGTCCTCCTGCTGGTCCTGGTATCTGAGTCCATCTGGACTCCAGGTCTTCAGCGTCCTCCACAGAAAGAACAGAGAGGCAGAAAAGCCTACAGTTGTTCCAGGAGTCCAGAGTTTACGCAGCAGACCTAGTCCCAGCTGGACCAGAAGCAGCCCTGCTGCTGTTCTCTGGCTGGAAGAGATCTGAGTTTAGAGACCAGCCCCCCAGATCCAGGGTTCAGGTTTAGGATTAAGGGGGAAAAGGCAGAGAAAAGCTCCCAGATGCAACAGGACAAAGACAGCAGGAAAGACAGCAGGTAAAAGCAGGTCTGCACCAAACCGGAGAAGAAGAAGAAGAAGAAGCCACAGGGCATTTAGAAAGATATGCATTTTATCGTGCCCCCCCTCAATAGCCTGAGCCCCGACCCGTCCTTCCAGGAAAGAAATCCTGGACACGGCCCTGGTATATAGGGGCTGAGGAAAAGGGGAAGGAGAAACACAGGAGACATTACCAGAAAAAACAGAACTTAGGGAAGGACACACACCAAAACAGATGAGGACTGAATGAACTTTAGAGCTTTTACATGGGGAAGGTTGATTAGTGACAATTGAGACAATTGAGTGTGGGAAGCACAGCTATGGGTGAATATGGCAAGGAGACACGGAACTAGGGGACAGGAAAATTAAAGGAAATAATATCGACTTCGCAATGGATTAGTCACTTCAGAGGCAGCCTTGGACCTGATATGTTTCCTTTATGGTTGATTTGGACAAGTATTTCATGTCTCAATTTGTTTTCCCAAATGTAACTATGTTCCCCAAAAATGTAAATGTATTTTTTTTAGGTAAATGTGTTTTTTTTAAATGTCAAGTTGTTTAATTTTGTTTTCTGAATTTTTTATTACATTTTTTTTCAATGTAAATGAGTTTTAGGATTTGTAAGTGTTTTGCACCTCCTGGCCACCATAATTTACAGATGTCACAAAACACCCTAAAAATTAACATAACAGTAAAAGAAAAGAAAAAAACTCTAAATATGTGTTCTTCAGAAATGTATTATAGCACTACAGAAGACTCATATGCATAAATAAATAGATAATAAATAAAATAAGTGTATGTTTTCCTGCTGGTGTAGGTTGTATAACTGGAAATGATAGGGTGTAGAAATGATAAAAGCATTCTCACCTCCATACTTTTATGCATATGGGTCAGGGAAGACGGTGGATAGAGTTCCTAAATAAACTTTCAACTTTCAAAAAAATATTTAAACGTTGATGTGGTAGAACCAGTGGATGGGACTAATTAAATTAGGTGGGTGCTATGCCGTTCAACACTAACAGAAGTGGTGTCGTTTATTTTACGACGGGACCCGTCGTTTTACGGCACCCCGCCATTTTATATCTTTGGGAAGTCTGTCGGTAGTAGCTGAGCATACCACAGCTTGATTGTCGTCTTATGTCACGTGTAGAGACCAGCCTAAACTATTCCTATTTAATCGTTGAGCCCTTTTTCGGGGTTCAGTTGTTCCTGGCGACTTGCTGAGATTGCAGTCGTTCGCTTCAGGTTCATGATTTGAGTTTTGCTAAACACGAGAGGAGAAAAGGTAAGGCTCTCAGTCGAGGGTTTTGTTAGCATGGTTAGCTCAGTAGCAAACGGGAAGGGCTCCATTTGATTTAAGCGCTCTACTGCAGCTAAACTAAGCGAAAATGGAAAAATATCCGTCTTGGTAAATTAAATAATTGAGGAAAAGAAACTAAGTATAACTCCGGACTTTTTGGCTGTACACATTAACATTTTAACGCTAATTTTGTTCAAATTCACGTAGGACGGCGCGGGTCTGTTTTTAAGTAGGGTTTTTTTAAGCTTGCCACATATTTGTTATCTCATTAATATATTTACTCTTTCGAAGTGAAGAATGACGCAGTTTCTACCACCGAACCTATTGGCCCTCTTTGCACCGCGGGACCCCATCCCCTTCTTACCTCAGTTAGTCAAGTTGCCCCACGAGAAACACCATAACCAGCCATACTGCGGGATCGCGCCATTCATCAGGCATTTCGAGGTGAGTACTTATTTGTCGGTTTTTCTTTAACTTTTTGTTTTTCTGGTTATTGCTTACCCGTATTTAATATTTCCATCCTTTGAATAGGACCCAAGAGATGCACCTCCACCGACAAGAGCCGAGACCCGGGAGGAGCGCCTGGAGAGAAAGGTTCAGTTGAACTAGGCCCAAGATGGTTCTGCTCATTGTTGTCATGCCTTGCTGTGGGGTTGCTGGAATTACTTTTACATCAGACTAGCATTTTATGCATGGCAGTTAATTGCAATACCCAAACGACAAGGGTTTTATTTCTGACGTCTTGTGGAAGGGCACACAGACTGTGCACCATGGGTTTGCACTTGTTTTTATGATACAGAAGCCTGTTATACTCAAGCATAGCTGGAAATTTTAAGCAACCTGCGTTTTGGTGTGATTTGTCCACGTCAATTCAATTCCACAACGTTTTAAAAGGAAAACCAGTAGCCAGTAACATACACTACTGATGAAAAGTTAGGGATATTTGGCTTTTGGGTGGAACTTATTTGGAAATGTAAAGAGCTAATGCTACAGGTTTGTTACGTCATGAGAGTATGATACTTAAGAAGGAACTTTAGGGAGTGACTTGTTTTTAATCCCAATAATTTTATTGGAATAAAAGTGGTAGGTATGCCACAACAAAAAGGCCAGTGTTTCAATAACTTGCCATGTGCCTTTGACCATCAGTTGAAGCTTGTGCTGTTTACAGTTTAGCGTAATGTTTGCTGTGGCATGGCTTCCCACTCTTCTAGAAGGGCTTCCCTCAGGTTTTTGAGGTTTTCGGGTAGCATAACTCTGAGACTAAGCTGATCCATTGGCTTTCTCTGGGATTCAGGTCTGCTCAAAGTGCAGGCTTCATTTAAGATACCCAAGTATCCAGTGCCCAGCTTCCTTATGGTGTCCCCCAAGGAGATCAAATTAAGCCTGTGTTGAATGTGTACAAGGACTGGACCAATGGTGTGATTTATGATTGGCAGATGAAATTAACACAAAGCCTGTCGCTGAAATAAATATATATATATATATTATATTATATTTGGAGGCAGGCTTGACTAATTTCTAAAAGATAAGATATATAAGTTAAGATATTTAGTATGACATTTTAAGAAATAGAAGTTCACTGTATTTTGTGTGATCAAATCCAAAGAAACTGATATTCGTAGCTTCAGATGTCTGATTATTGTGTTTATTTTATTCAGATTGTTATATATTATACATGCTTCAACAAGGCGCTTTGAAACGACACAAACCCTGAAGCCTCGGTGTCATTCGCCCATCACAAGATGTTAGATGTTATTTATGTAGTATGGCTTTGGCAGCCCAATGTAAGATTTTTTAAAAAGTAAGTAACCTACAGTTGTAGATTTTTGAAAATGTCTCTCAATGTTCTCTTTTTTTTGTTGTTGCATTCTAATTTTTCACCACATATCAAACAATAAGGGAATCCGGTGTTGTTCACAGAACAGGCAGAGAAACTTGACCATGCAGGATTCACTGGTTGGCTGGTTGTTGATGTAGTCCTTGGTGTGGGATGTGGTCTATGGACGTCCAGTTCTGTTTCTTTCTGTGAGGTTTCATCGCTGTTGCAACCTGCTGATGACGTTCTGTGACACTTTAAGCTCAATTGTCACTTTTTCGTGAGCACGTGCTTGAACTGTAGCAGTTGTTGGGTGTTATCTTGGTCAAATGTCCAAACGCGAGCTGTTGCATGGATCGAACACCTGCTGTGACTACTGCCGTTAAGCTCCTTACTAGAGAACAGCAAGTTGTACAAAATGTACCCAAATGCTGACTAGTTCAACACATAGGTTAAGTTTTGAGACAGTCACATTAAGCTCACCTGCAAAGGTTCTAGTGCATTTTGAATATAGTGAAATTTAAGCCAAACATCCCTAACTTTTTGTGAGTAGTGGCCTTAATATGTTGTGCACCAAAACTGTTAACACTGATGACATTTGCAAACATGACATAATCCTGAGGATCAAGATGCTCTTGGTGTGTTTTGGAATGGAGCTCTTCATTTAGTTATAGCAGGTTTACCAATGTTTTGACAATTTAAGAAAAAAGGTTCAAACGGCGTTTGTGAGATCAATCAATTCCTACCCTAACATTTTCAGAGGCGAGAGAAAATTGAGAGAAGACAGACAGAAGTGGAGACAGAACTCAAACTTTGTAAGTTGACAGCATTGTAACAAAATTCCACTGTCTATATATATATATATATATATATATGTATGTGCATGTATTGGGATTAATCATTCTATTTTGTTTTGTCATGCTCTTAGGGGACCCCCATAATGACCCAAACGCCCAAGGGGATGCCTTCAAGACTTTGTTCGTGGCACGAGTGGTTAGTATATTTAAAAAGAAAAACTTTTTAAAAATTGTTTCATTTTGAATTTTTTTGGGGGGGACAGAGAACCTCTTTTCAGCTGTTAATTAAGTGTTTATTTAATTTCCCTTTGCAGAACTATGATACCACAGAGTCCAAACTTCGTCGAGAGTTTGAAGTCTATGGACCTATCAAACGGGTATGTTTTAGTTTATTAAAGATGAGATGCATTTTGATTTATACCAGAATTGAGATGTTATAGTTTCTTGATTACCTTCAAACTTTGGAGGAACATGGGTGTCTAGATTTGTCAAAGAGGTAGTCGATAAATTATGTTGATAAATGACTGGATGCTAATCTCCCACAGCCCTTTTTGTTCAATAATCCAAGTTTACCATCAAACTTTAATTGTGTAATGGGTGTGATTGTTCAGTTTACTGTCATGTTTTTTTGTTAAATGTCAGTTTTATACGCATGAGTCCTGACTATCCATGCAAAGACCTCAGACCGGTGTGTCTGTCGGTGTGTTTTTTCTGCAGCAAAGCACTGTTTCCATGTTTTTTGTTTTTTTTGTTACAGATTTACATAGTCTACAACAAGAAGACAGGAAAGCCCCGGGGCTATGCGTTCATTGAGTACGAACATGAACGAGATATGCACTGTGAGTACCAGTAGAGATAATCAAATCTAGCTTATTCTGTGTATTGTCACCCTTTTCATAAAGACCTTCAATGTTATGCAGCAGTGTTCTTTACATATACGCCTTTTTTTCTGGATGGATGCTGGGGTGGAATCTTGTGAAAGCGCTTTGGAAAGGCATTTTTGCCTTGAAAAAAATTGATTAAACGCTGTCAAAGGTTTTCCAGCAATGCGTACTAGCATGCATTGTACTTTGCATGAAGTCCCAGTCGTGTGCTTGTTTGGTTTGTGTGTGTCTGTTCAATGCGTGTCATTGGTCGACTGATAGTCTGGTTAAGAAGGGAAATGGATTGATTCATATTGGGCATCAGCGGGAGTTTGACAGAGGAAAAACTGTCTTTCATCTGTGAACCTGAACATGTTTGCTTGTCAAAGGGCACATTGTCTTTTAACTGTGAGGCGTTGTAGTCCTGTGGAAGAGCTGCTCTCCTGGTGGTACGGTAATGGTAAGCACAAGGCCAGACTGGACACAACACTGCCAGGGCTTTTCACCTGAGATTCACTGAATCCCTTGCTTTTTTTTTTGGTTTTGTTTCCTTTATTTTCTTCTTAGGATTAGGTTTTGAGGTTGTCTGTCAGTTTTTACTGGTGGTCTTCAACCTTGGTCATGGTGAGCTTAGCTATTAGCAACTGCTACACTAGTGAGATGGTACTTGGATTTCAAGCTGGTGTTTGTGCCTCATGGAATTCTTTCTCCTTTGGCATTTGTTATCTGAAGCACAATTTAAGCTTCCAATTTGGACCGATGTAGAGCCTACACTGTAGCCAACGTTAATGGCCTTTGCCGTTGCAAGCAGTTCTACATGCACAACATTCTTCAGTGCATAATAGAAAGCCATCTTAACTGTTAAGGTTTGTTTGTTTTTTGTGTGTGTGGGTTTGTCTGTGTCAGACTATGGCAACCAAAAATGGATGCAAATATATAAATGCTTCACTGAAATGACTGTTGCCACATTATTTTCTATACTTCTTCAAAGTATAGTAGATGACTCTGTTTTCCTGGACCTGTCCCTTGTACCGTGTGCATCAGCAAACGGAAGAATTGTCGAATTTGTACATGACGGTGACTGAAAGCTACAGTGGTGCTTTAGAATTGGAGGTGCCAAAAAAGTTGGTAGTTGAAATCATAGAAAGTTTTAACTCTCGGTGAAACATAGCGTTGCTAGGTAACAACGTTGTTCCTTGTTACCTGTGTCTTAAAGTTTGAAGGAAAAACCAATAGAAGGCTGAATTGGATGAAAGTTACAATCTCCAATCGTATTATGCAGACTTTTAGTTTGGGGCCAGGGAAACCTTAAGATGGCTATCTGAAGAGAATAAGCTAATTGACATTTGGTTACATGACAAAGGAGTTCATGAAACATTACCTGTGTAGTAAATGCACACAAACATGGGATCTTTAATCAAAACCATGTTGGTGATTGCTGAAGGCATTTAATGCACCTTTGCTTCAGAAAAGGACATGGTCAGCCAACTGTTCAGATCCCATAGCTTAGATGGAGTCTGGAAATCTTTTGAGTTGTATACAACAAATCTTAGATCTGAATTAATCATTGGTGAAATCCATGCATTGGTGTTCAATATATGTTAAGAGCTTAAGCAGCAGCAGGATTACCCCCCCTCAAACTTAACCAGTGGACTACAAATTGCAAGAATCACTTTCCTATTAAATTAAATTGACATCTCTATATTTATGTGTAAAATATTAAATCTGAACTTTGCAGTAACCTTTTTTCAACAGTGCATGTTAGGCTGCAAGGGATATTGGCTACCTTGAAGGCTCTACAGCGGTCTGACGTGGAGGCAAACATCAGAGTTTACACAATGCCACCATCCCCTGATATTAGTATAACGCCAGCTCTTCAAGACCAGAGTTGCTGAACCACTACTGTGTAGAGGGGGGGTGGGGATGTGGGGGCTAAACGGTATATTAACTGTGTGTTATTCTCATTGCCACTGCAGCCGCCAATCTGTGATGGCTAAAGGCTAAAGGCCAGAGCTGGCTGGCAGATGATGATGATGGTTATGATACATCTACACCCTACTACCACAGCTCAGTATATGGTTGGTATAATGGGTTTGTATGATGGGTAAGATTTCTTTCCACCCTCCATCTCCTACATAGGAAAGAGGAGCTCCGTTCTCTGGATAAAGCGTCTTCTTACGGGCCATTTTTAAGGCTACTTGGTGTAAGTGAAGATAGGACTTTAGGATTTGGCCATTGAAAGCATCCCTGTTAGTTGGTCCAGGAGCGATTGACCAATGATTGTCCTTTATGTTAAAGCCATCTCGGGTTACTGGGGGCTAATTCTTTGCAACAGCAAAGACGTAAGAGTGTGTGTGTGTTTGGGTAGGAGACTGTAGGGAGAGTTTACAGTTTGAAAGCTGACACTACAAGGATTTATTGAACTTGCATTTTAAACTGTAGGTTTTGAGAGTGTAATGCATCACTTTCACATGAGGGTTTGACACCAGAGTAAAGATTAAATCATGACTGAAGATCTTTGTGATAAACTGGAACGAGCAGTCTGACTGCTAACATTACAAGATTTTGTAATAAAGGGAATTGTTTTGCTAGGTAAAACAAGTTAACAATTGAAACCTGGCAAAAACCACGGATGTAAAAGAAAATGAAAAACATATTTAGCTCCAAAATTTAATTGGCAAGTAGGATGACCCTTATTAGAATTACGCTGTCCACAGTTGAATTTAGAACTCTAAATTAAGGCTGAGCTGGCTTTAATATAACGATGGCAATTGCTTTGCACAGTGGCTTGGAAAAGTATTCACCCATTGGCATGTTTCCAGTTTTATTGCCTTACAGCCTTTAAATGAAAATGGATGGAACTCAATTGTTGATTTAGCGGTATGCTCAAGGTGGTCTTGAAGGCTAATCTGCTTTGTTTGAGCAGTTGTACCAACCTGTGTCCTCTTTTGAGGACAGGAGGTAGTGAGGAGTTTGCAAATGATGATTTAAACCTAAAAACATAACGTTTTAATTACCAACCTCGCAGTCTACAGCAGTTAAGTACTTCTATTTCTTATTAGTTAGCTGGTGTTTCTGTCCATCACACCTACCGGTGCACTTTAACCCCATGATGCATTAAATCAAGCTTAACTCCTTAGGAAAGTTAACTGTCAATTTAAAAAGACTGTTGGGCTGTTCTTTTGTGGCGATTGATCTTTTTTTAATATACTTTTGCAAACCACTGTCATTCAGCTAAATGGGATTTTTGTACATTAGCTGGTACATTAGTTGGTGCGATCAATATTTGATCTTTTTTAAACTTTTGGGTTACTCAGAAATGGCTCATGTCAGTATTGTTACTGACTAAATTAGCTTTTTTTCTATATATCTACGGTAAAATGTAGCTTCAATTGGTTTGAATTAATGGTAGCCCAGTTTTTTTTTTTTTTCCTCCCCATTTTTCTCCTCCGTTGGTCATCTTTAGTTGACAGAATCGGGGTGTGGTAAGGCCCTATGGGTTGGTTGTTCTGCTGGGTGAGTACAGGATTTGGAGGGGTAATGGTAAGGCCCCTGAGAGAGGTGTTGTGATGTCCGTTGTGATGGTGAAGCGGTTTGAGGTCTGGGGCAGAGACTCATAAGTCCCCTCCTGTGAGGGTATTGGCAACACTGTGAAGTAAGCAGTCTAAGTGAGGGAGTTTGGTAAGGCCCTCCGACTGTGTAGTATTTGTCTTTATAAATTTCAGCCCTGGTGATCATTGCATCAAACTACTGTTTTAAAAAAAAAAAAAAGAAGAAGAAGAAAAAGAGACATTGGCCACCTGGAGTTTGCCAAGTATTTCCATGAGTCCAGATGGATCTGAGGACCTGTCATTTCTATTTTGCTTTTTAATGTGGTAACTGGGAGAAAGTTTGAATAGAAACATGGATGAAAACTGGCTTAACATGCTAGGTTTTGTGTTAATGAAAGTTTCTTCTATTCACATTACCATGTTGTCATCTCGTCAGGCATGGGGGAGAACAAATTCAGATGTCTACACTAAGTGCAAACTTTAGAATGACTTTAACTGCAGATCTTGAAATGTTAGCATTGTAAAACTAAACAATCTAGCCAGTAATTCACACAATAATAAAAATAATTTTCAGATGTTGCATGTTCTAAGTGTTTTTGTTTTTGTTCACCCAAGTTGCCCTGTGACAGATGGAAATTGCCTATTTCTCAGCTCAGACTTTTAAAATGACAAATTATTGAAGGATGGATTAAATGTTTGTTTAAAAAAACAAAACAACTTTTTTTTTTTTTTTTTTTCCCAAAAGCAGTATCCCTATACTGACTTGTTTCAGACTTTAAAAAATCTTTATTTTTTTATCTAAGTTCATATTTGGTATAGTAAACTCAATTTGTAGGTATCTACACATGATTTTTTACCATAGAAAAAATAGTAAACTTCATTCTTTATCTGCTCAAGATGTGGAACTCGGCTAATTTAAATTAAGGCTCAGAAATATAGACTCTTTGATTATAGCAGAAACTCAAAGGTCAGTTCAGTTTGAAATTTTTCTCAATGTATACAAGAGAAAAAAAGAAAATTGTGGCGTGCCATAAAAGCACAGAACCCTAGGTGTTTAACTGGAAGTTAAATGTAATCTATAATTATTCATCGGGTGGAAGGAAGTCTACTCCCATAGTTCCTCGGCTTTTGCCCAGAGAGCAGCCATCTCTGCTTCGTCTGCTCCTGGTCAGTATGATAATGCACTGTTTTCTTTTTCCCCTTTAGTCAGAGTGATTTAGTTGTGCCCCCATCTAATATTCTCCTTCATTCTCTTCCCTCGTCTCCTACAGCTGCCTACAAGCATGCAGACGGGAAGAAGATCGACGGCAGGAGGGTGTTGGTGGATGTGGAGCGAGGACGCACTGTCAAAGGCTGGCTTCCCCGCAGGCTAGGTCCGCCACCGCCTCTGTGCCTACCAAATCCTTTTTTTGGGGGGGGGGGGGGGGGGTTGTATCTGTTTTTCTTTTTTCTGGGTTGACATCTCCAAATACAAGCTACTGCAAGCGGACCTACAGGTGTCCTGCATGTCAAAATGTAGCGAGCGTGCTCAGTGTTTGCGGTCCAGTTCTTCATAAAGTGGACAGGCCACAGATCCACGGCCGCTTCTTTGGTTTGAGTCTTTAGTCTCCTTGTATTTTGTATTATTTTTCTACTTGGCCATTTCTTAGGAGATGCTAACAAGAAACCACCCTGTTCCAATTAGAGCCCTCGAGTTGGGGATAGAGCCTTCCCCAATGAACAGTATTCAAATTCTTTTGGATTCTTATTAGGGATGTACCGATCCAGCTTTTTTCACTGATACCGGCCGATCCCGATCCCGGCTTATCGGAGCATGTATTAAAGTTATTTATCTACACACTTAGTTGTAAGACCCATGTTGAACAAGGATTTACTCTGATAATAACCCAATGGTAAGGACACAGACCTGTGGGTTAGGAGATGCTCATGTGGGATCGAATTTTAAAAAAAGAAGAAAAACTGGATCGGGATTTTCTCCTGCCGGCCGATACGCAGTTTTTTGTGAATATCGGCGGCCGATCCAATCCAAATATCGGATCGGGACAAGTTTAATTCCTGTTTTCACGGGTTTAATGAGCTGGGAGCCCAAATAAGCTAACAAACAAAAACCTGATATTGTTTAAATTGTGCGCCCTGATTTTATCATTTATGAAAGTTTAGCTTTTTTAATTGAAGTGTGGAAATTAGGCAACTTTTGCTTGTTTTCTTGGACATCCCATTGATGCAACGATGACACCTTGTCTTTGTTATGTAGGAGGGGGGTTAGGTGGCACAAGGAGAGGTGGAGCTGATGTCAACATCAAGCACTCTGGACGGGACGACGCATCTCGTTACGATGAACGCCCGCTGGGGGGGGGGTAAGGCCTTCTGGAGAGACCTCTTCACTTTCAGGACTACTGTGTGCTTATTCTAACCGTTGCTTTCGTCCGGCTTCTCAGTGACCGCGCTGACCGACGGGAACGCAGTCGGGATCGAGGAGACAAGGATAGAGAACGTCGGAGGTCCCGGTCCCGGGAAAGGCGTCGGCACACCCGTTCCCGGGAGAGAGAGCGGGAGCGAGAGCGGCCCGTAGTAGTAGCAGCAGAAGAAAGCAGCGGTGGTAGCCGGCGCCGCGAACGAGAGCGGGAACGTGGAGGAGGAGGGGGGGGTGGAGGAGGGGGAAGGGGGGGGGGGAGGGGGAGGTGGAGGTGGAGGAGGAGACAGCAAGAGTAGGGAGAGAAGCCGAGACCGGAAGAGGAGGAGCAGGAGCCGAGATCGCAAGAGGGACAGGGAGAGAGGCAAGGGGCTGGAGGAGGAGGAGGGCCCCGGAGAGGGCCCCCCCGAGGCCCTGGAGCGCATGCACGACGAGCACGAGGGAGAAGCCGGCGAGGCTGTGGAGGAGCGGCGAGACAGAGACAAGGACAGACGGCGCAGCCACAGGGACCGCGACCGCCGCCGAGGGGACCGGGAGCGAGAGCGCGAGCACAAGAGGGAGCGAGGAGACCGGGAGAGGGCTGACCGCCGGGAGGAGCGCCACGCCTCCTCACGCGACGACGCCGGCCCTCAGGACGACACGGCCAACGACGAGAACGCCACGCCCGCCAACGCCGAGTACAGCCAGGACGGAATGATCGACGAGCAGTCGGTGCCCTCGTCTGACAACTACGGCTCCAGCGAGAACGGCTTCAAGATGGAAACGGCAGGAGATGAGTATTGAGATGGTCCATTCCCCCAGGAGAGCCTCACTCATAAGTTGTTTTATAATGTACTTTTACTCAACCCTTGACTTTTTATCCAAAACCCTGTTCATTTCAGGGCCACCTGAGTACAAAACCCCTGTTTAGCTTTCAGTCCGTTTCGAATATTCGTTTTCGGGTTTTTTTGCATCTTCGCAGGCACAGTGGACACGCTGTAAGTTTCTCGCTGAAGTCGCCGTTTTCTTGTTTTCACCAACTAATCTGTGCCATCCGACTATTTAGTGGAAGCTGATCTGATTGTTATATTTGGGGGTAGAAGTAGGATGGTGAAGGTTTAGGGTTCTTTTTACCGGAGACTAACCTAAAAAAAAAAATCAAATGGTTTCTTTTGAAAAGTAATCTAAAGCTCGCTTTATTTTAAGATTAGTACATTGTTTGTTTACTGTTTGATTCTCTGCTCATCTGGACAATTCTGTGTATGTGAAATTCAATTTTTTGTTGTTTTTGGAATAAATGTGACTTGACAGCAGTGCTGTTTTGTGATTATTTTATTTTGCTTTTTTCATATACATTGCTTAATTTTGTTTTCGTTTGAATAACTGACATGCTCGATATTGGTAGGCTTTTTTTTCCTTTCTAAAATCCCATTTCATACAATAGGTTGGAATGGGAATTTTGTACTATTTTCTTCTATAATTGGTATTACAGTATAGTAGTACAGTTACAGTAATAGTTAAACCTCATTTTTTACCTACACTTAAAGCAGGTTAATTTACTTTGTCAACTAACTAGTTAGAATTAAGTCTTTTACCAAATATTTTCCATTTCCAAGCTGTCCCTCATTGGTCGCTTTACTGTGTCCACTCATTGAACCCTCCGCGTGCAGGCGAGCGCGCGACCACCGCGTCACTCACGTCTTCCCTCCCGATTGCATCTCTCGAAAAGATGGCCCAGGGATTGCAGTGAGGCGAGCTTTTGTCACATATATTTGGTTTTAATTTTCCGTACTCGTTTGCAGACGCCCTTTAAGGAGCAGGTTGGATATAATATCTGAGAATGTCCTCTTTCTACCATCCTGTAAAGGATGCGGATATGGCGGCCATCACCGAACCGCTTTGCCTGGAAAGAGGTAACGTACCACCCAGACCGCTTCAACAATTCACCTAAATATCTCATGTAACAAGCTTTCAGTATGACTATATGGTGCCATTTATATTTCCGCTACTGTAAGCTGTATTCATTGCGTATATATTGGAAGTGTGGGGGGGTCCTCCTGTCTACAGTCGTGTGAAGGACTCCACGTCCCGTTCGGTTAGCTTGGTAATTATAGTTTATTGTTTGCATACAATTTAGCGAGCTGCTCGCGACTTGAAATGGACTCGGTATGGAGTGCTTTTTTATTTGATCTTTTTTATCTGATTTTTTTCTTACTAAAAGCTGGAACCCAGATGACGAAAATTAGACTGCATTTGTTTGGTATTTTTTATTTCACTTGGACAGGATACGAGTCTTTTCAAATACACTTTGAGACACTTCCTTGTTCAAAATTGTTTAAGTCATTCTTATGGGGGGTTTCTGTTTCCATGGTGAAAAAAAACAAAAAACCATCCATGCAATTTACTTAAAAAATGTCTAGTGTGTTCTTTAACATGCATTCTCTTTGTGTTCTAATAATAAAAAATAAAGACTTTACTTTCTATCTTTTGGCTCCCCATAGCCAACCTCTGCCCCCAATCCACATGATTTTCCTCACTACTTCCAGTCTTTAATTTTTTGCCTATTTAAGACATCCCATTAAATCTGCAAGTTAGTTCTGCTAATATATTTCTTCACATAAGTCACCAGAAATATCCAGATGTGTCTGGATGGCAAAACGCATGAATTAAAACATTTTTGAACTGATAACGGCCTGCTTCTTTAAAGAAAGAATAAGGGTGTCCAAAAAAAGATGCAAAACTTCTTGAAGTCTCCCATGAGTAAGTAAAGAAAAGGCTTCACGGACAGAAATGATATTGATGATAGGTTAATTGAGGACATTTGGTTGGACTTCAGAGTGTTCTGGAAATGAGAACAGAGTCCATCCCAGGTTGAGGGTGGAAAACTGCTGACCATAATTGTAGGGCTGTAAAGTCCTATTTGACTGGTCGAGTTCTGGTTGGTCAACCAATTTGCGTAATTTCATCCAATCTATGGTTATTTTCATCAGGAAGAAAGTACCAAGAGCTAATGGGGTGTTCACAGCAGCCCTGGGTCACAGGTAATAGCCTATTTTGGATTAGCCCAAAACGGACAGGTAGATTGAAGGATGTTCTCTTTATTCAACGTCCAATAATGTGTTGATTTTTTTATTTCATTTTAAAGTTTCCAACTACACAGATGGCACCACTTCGCTGTCCTTAAGGGGACGGCAGGGGTCAGCTTTAGAGATAGGGTCAGGAATCTGACCGTCAGGGGCTCAGTCTGCTTCTCCTTCTTCCTTCGCTAATTTAATCCTGATCCACTTTGTGCAATTGCTCTACAAGATGTGAGCACCATTTTAGGACACCATTTTTTAAAAATGAAGACTAATTAGTAGATATAATCTGATACATGTTTGTTTTAGATCTGCAAATTACACAGCCATCCATAGTATCGTCCTCAGAATATAGTGTGTACATATTTCTTTCCTCTAACAGAACCTCTCTGACATAATTCTGAGAAGGTTAGTTATTGATAAGATTTTTGCTGACATCCCGGAATTGCATGAATATCCATGGAAATGTATAAACTGAAGCACAGTCCAGAAGGTTGAGGTAAGACTTGCCATTTCTTTGGAGTGGGCTTAAACAAAGGCTGGTGGCTGAAGCTTCCTTAAATGCCTATGTTTGGAGCCCCATTGATGCTGTGGTGCCGTCAGTGGTAGGTTCTTGCTGTCCACTGTCTGAAATGGAGGTTTGTGTGTCTTTTACCGGGTAGATGTTTGCAGAGTGATTGAGCTGCTGGACAGGCTGCAGCGGACAGGCGAGCTGCCTCATCCCAAACTGCAGGCCCTGCAGAGAGTGCTACAGAGCAAATTTTGTGCCGCCATCAGGGAGGTATGCTTGACCAGTGCCTGAGACATTTGATAAGGAGATATTTTTATTTTATTTATTTATTTCTTTAATCAGGACAGTGCACATTAATGAACAATCTCATACATATTGTAAATGAGCCAGATTATAGCATAGTTGCTAGTTTACATCTGTCGTCCTGAGGCAGGAAGACCAAACAACACAAAATCACACAATACAAAATCAGTCCAAACACACGTTCAGACAATGACATTACAAAATTAAAATTAATTCAATTCAATTTCATTTATATCGCGCTACATCACAACAACAGTTATCTCACAGCTTTCCAAACAGAGCAGGTCAGACCCTACTCTGAAGTTAACTACAGAAACCCAACAATTCCCACCATGAGCAGCACTAGGCGACACAGGCAAGGAAAAACTTCCTTTTAACAGGCAGAAACCTGGAGCAGGTGCTGTTTTCAACCATGGCTCAGGGTGCTAGATAATCCTAATGAACTTAAAACGTATACTCATATCTCTCCCTCTCCTAATGCTGCCCCGCCCCATGTGAAACACATCTTAAAACAAACAGAAAAAGCTTAAGATAACGTTCTCTGTCTTGTTTTTTTTCTACTGATGTAGGATGTTATCTAGTATATCCTTTAATACACCTATAAACCTGGTCAGCATCGCTCTGGCTCATCGTTTGATGTCCGCTGTTGTCCTGCAGGTGTATGAACAACTGTACGACACTCTGGACATTGTTGGAGGCCCCGAGGTGCGAGCACAAGCAACAGCCAAGGTATTAGAAATGTAATGAATAAACTAATAGATTTTTTTCGATGAATCAATACCTAAAAAGTACCTCATCCTTGTCTTTTGCATGAAAAATTAAGTCTATTTGCCCACTTTTTTCCACTCCAAACCACATTAATCTCTTCATACACACACACACACACACAACACTTTTTAGTCTAAAGTGCTACAGATGTCATTTGGCTCTGTGGTATGTTTGCATGAAGAACACATTTTTTTCAAATCACGATTTCTTCAAAAGTAAGAGTTTGATTGTATAATCTGCCTTTATCTTACCAATCCTTTTGGGAATATAAATCACACTTTTTTTTACATGTTTTGTCCGGCGGTGAGACCTATTCTCCAGAGCGACTTATAAATGAAAAATATACTAGTAGATTTTAAATTTAATTTACCGTTATAAAACAATTTCATGTGTGCTTTAAAAATGGCCACTGGAAACAGAAATGCAATGCATCGTGGGTACTGTAGGATGACAAATACATTATCAATTGAACTTTCCATGTTAAGTTAATATACCTGTATGTCCATGTGACTTAAAGTCCAGTGCGACTTTTTTCTTTATAATGGATGTAAAGCTGGTGCGGTTTACACTCCGGTGTGACTTATAGTCCGGAAAATACAGTAGTTTCCGAGGCGCAAGGTATTTGAATGGTTGGGATGTAAGAGTACCGAGACACTGCAAATCACCCACACTTCCAAAACATCAAAATAATTCACATCATAGAGTTATGTTAGAATAACAGTAATGTCCCAACTAAAAAATCTGAGTATATTTCTCCAGTTTTTCTGTTATTTTATCATCTCTTTACATAAAGAAATTTAAGACAATCAGACTCAATTGAATTATACTAAAATCACAATTCAGTTTAATCTAATTAAATAGATTATATTCCAATTTGATTTGAGTCAGTTGTTAAAAAAATACATAAATAAAATAAAACTGTAAAGAGGCCAAACATTGTGCCAAAGCTTCACTTTCATTCTTTTTATTAACACAAAGAAAAAAGGCATATATTTTTCTACTGTTACGTTCCAAAAGAAAAAAAACATTTAAGTGAAAATCAGGCGAGTTTGAGATTTATTTTATAAAGTGTATCAGATAATGGGAAAATGGGATTACATCCAGCATGACAATTACCATAAGCATACGGTAGACAAATATTTAACTATAACAAGTGACCAAGTCAAAGACCAGATCCCACTTCAATTAAGAATATTTGGGATGACCTAAAGATTATTAACACCATCAGAACATACACTTTAATGAAATGGAGCAGTTTTGCTTTGTAGATCCACAAACAGACATTAAGCCTAACCCCTGCAGCACGGACTTTCAGGGGGCGCTTTTCAGTTAAAAAAGCTTTTAAAACAAAAGTCGTTTTCATTGTTTACACTCGGATAAGTAAGAACACAGTCGATCAAAGAAAAGTTTTCTTATCTTGTCTGTTAAGCACATTTTAAAACAGATAAACAAAATACCATTTGAAGTTTCACAGACAAACCAGCTCTACAGGTCTACGACTGAAGAAAATCAGTAGAAAACTGATTCCAAATGCCTGCTGTTTGACTGAGTTGGTTTCCCCTTCAGGCCACTGTGGCCGCCTTCGCTGCCAGTGAGGGCCACGCCCACCCACGGGTGGTGGAGTTACCCAAGACCGAGGAGGGCCTGGGCTTCAACATCATGGGAGGGAAAGAGCAGAACTCCCCCATCTACATCTCCAGAGTGATCCCTGGAGGGGTGGCGGACCGGCAGGGGGGGCTGAAGAGAGGCGACCAGCTGCTGTCGGTCAACGGGGTGGTAAGAGGCTGTCGCTCTGGGAAAGCCTACTCAAAAAGATGTTGCGTGCATGCAAACGCTTGGCTCCAAAGCCTGTGTGAGCTGTGGAAATCCCCCCATGGGCTGCTGGACTTGTGTTTGGGCAGAGCGTGGAAGGGGAGCAGCACGAGAAGGCCGTGGAGCTGCTCAAAGCCGCCCAGGGCTCCGTCAAACTGGTGGTGCGCTACACCCCCAAGGTCCTGGAGGAGATGGAGGCTCGCTTTGAGAAGATGAGGAGCGCCCGAAAACGACAGCAACACACCAGTTACTCGTGAGAGCGCTCGTTAGTCTTTTTGGGGTTGTATGAGGACTGTGGGCTCATCTTCCTCACGTCTGCACATTCAAACCACTGTCATGTTTGGATTTGACAGTCAACATATTATTATTATTATTATTATTATTATTATTATTATTATTATTATTATTATTATCATCATCATCATCATTATCATCTATGTAGCGCTTAACAACAACCAACTGAATAAAAGTTACATTGCAATGAAGTGCGATAAAACTCGCAAAAGAAATACACAAGAATAAAAAAATGAAGGAAAGTGCCGTTCCACTACATGGTATTAAAAGCCTGTCTAAAAAGAGAAGTCTTTAGCTTTGACTTAAAGATTCTCAGTTCTGAAGTTGAATGAAGATCTAAAGGGTGGCTGGTCCAAAATGGGCTCCTACCACTGAAATGGCCCCCAGGCGTTCACCTGGTTCTATGGCTGTCTGATGACCTCAGAGATCTCCCATTTATAGGAAATTTAAAAGCTCAGATAAGTTAGGATGGAGCTAGACCATTTAACGCTTTAAAAACCAACATTAAGATTTTTTAAAACAGTTCTTAAATGGACTGGGAACCAGTGAACGGAGAATAGGACCGGGGCGGATAAACACAGACAGCTGCATTCCTCAGGAGGACACCGATGTTAAGTCCACTACAGTAATCCAGTCCAGGATTCACACAGGCATGAAGGACCTCTGGTCAGTGGGGTTTACAAAAGATTTGACTTTAAACTGCAAATGTGAAAGCTAGATTTGACCACAGAGTTGATTTGTTTATCGAAGCTAAACTCTTGGTCAAATATTGGGAAGGAAAGAGAAAATGCATATTTACAGTAATGTTGGTGGATAGATTAAAACCTGAAATAACTTGAAGCCTTACCTCTAAATCTTCTTAAACTGTGGCCAATGCAATACCAAAAAATAAAATGGAACGACCCTAGCCTAGGTTATGCTGAGATACCAGTAGAATACTGGTGTTAAGCCTGGGTTTTTGTTTTAGTTTAGTTTATTTTTTTTGTTTTTGGGATAGTCCACTACAATGATGGCAGATTGTTCTCCACAGACTTGTTTTTTCTCCTCCCTCAGGTCTCTGGAGTCCAGGGGCTGATTACATACCTCCACACATCACATTGCCCAGCCTCCCGGCTCTATAAACGGAAGCACAGAAAAAAGAAAAAAGAAGAAAAGAAATGCGTCTCTACAGTAGGAACAGCGGTTCCCTAAAGCTGTCGTATCTATTCAAAGTTGTTCTCTCCCTCCTGTTTGGATTTTCCTAAAAAAAGAAGAAGCTAATAACGTTTTTTTTTAACCCTACAGTTTAACTTTTTGTGCCCTGTCACATGATACTGAATGATCGTTTTATTGTTTGTTTGAACTATAATCTAGTGCCAGGATTATTTTTTGGGTGGGGGGGTAAAATTGATTTAGGACATCGTGTACTGAGCTAATCGCTAAAGATGTCCTCAGTCTGCAGTAGAGCAGAACAACATGGAAAATATCTCCCGGAAAAGGTTTGTGTTAGACAGCCAGCTACGAAGAGCTAAACTGCTTTGAGATGTTTTGTAATTGTTTGAGTGTTTGTTAGTTGGGAATCCTTTTATCTGAATAAACAATAATTGCACAACTGCGGCTGACTGAGTTTGCTTCTACAGCAGTCCCACAGCTGAAGTGAGAAGAGTCATGGGGCGATGTCCTCCTCATCCAGTCTGACCGGAGCCTATCTGCTTTGATTTTCTCCATTCCTGTAGTTTCATTCTCCATGCCCTCTCTCTGTCATGGATTTGAAAAACATCTTCTTTGCTCTAAATATTTGGAGCAGACTTTGTTCCCGCCACAAAATGACCACTCTGTAAGTACTGAAAGGAAATTTTCATTTTGGTCTACAACTTCACCTCGTATGGTTTACAACAGCCACTAAGCTGTAAGAAAATCAGGAACTTTTTTTTTAAGGTATTTTCATTACCGGGGAGTCTCAATTTCCATCTAAAGAATAAAACAATCTAAAAACCTTACACAAAACAAACTCTGTGCCATTTTTCTAATTGTACTTATAATTATGAGATCTTTCCCCGTAATTACGACATGCCAGCAAAACAACAATAACAACAGCACAATCATGCATGTTTGTATTGTTTCCAGCTTCTATCTCCAAAGATGATGTAACTTTTGGTATGATCTTGCAAAACAAAAATGATTAACTCTGTTGTGTTAAGCAAACTTTTTTTATTCACAAGAACAGAGTACTAAAATCAGCTCCCAAATTTAATCTTTACTAATTAATTTAAAATATATATCAAATCTCTTAAACTTATAACAACAATAAACGGCCAAAATGTATAGGGTATCTTAAAGAATTTCCCCACAGAATTGGATAGACCAAATTTAATCTGAACTTCCCCTTAAGAAAGATGTTTGTACTAATTTGATTACTTACTTAGATAATTTTACTTTCTGTTAGCCCGATTCTTTAGTTAGAAGCCTGAGATTGAAGCAGAGAACAGATCAAGAGTACAAAAGCTTAAATGTATTTGGTCCCAGGTAAAGTCATCAGAACTGGGCTCTCACAGGCAAAGTTCCCCCAGGATCTAAGTCAGCAAGAGCCCCGAAACCCGGGTGTGATGGACATTCTGATTTTGATCTGATTTATCTTGTGGGCTGCGCCTGCTCCTTACAGTAGGAAGGCTGGAATATTATTGGACATGAACAGGCCAGCTCCTAATTCATGCAGATTTCACTGGAATGTGATAATAAAGTGTTTGTGTGACTGTTGAGCTGGAAGAGGCGTATCTACTGTGTTATTTATTTATTTGTTTGTTTGGTGAATGCAATACTTCCGTAGGAATCAGACAGAACGGGGTGGAAGAAATGTGTCCATGTTTCAGGATTTTGCAAAAACTGCAAAAGAATTAAGCTGTCAGAGTATGTTTTTAACACATTTGTTTTTCTCCTTTTTGTGAATTACTAAGCTTGTTCTTCTTGTTGAGGTTTCAGATTTCAGACCAACAAAAACATTGGATTCCAAAAATATATATTTGAACACATCTGGTCCAGCAGGTGGCGGTAAAGCGCTTTAAAGCTGGCGGTCACCGCCCGCCACCGGAACCGAGGGCCACGAAGAAGAGTCCGTTTGAAGACAGCGGCGCAACTCCGACCACGTAAGAAAGCAGAAAAACAGTAACATAGAAGATTAATTCGGTATGTCATTGTTACAAAAGTATTGAATCCAAATAGGACACAATCCATTGTCTTCTGCTTCCGCTTATATCAGATACCGGAAGCAAATTATTCACGGGAACACTTCCGGACAAGCCAAACAGTTGCTGGTAACAGAAGAAGCTGTTGAGGAAAAACAAAACAATTTTAGCTGTCCTGGTCAATACAGCATTGATTATGTTTCATTAAAATAACATTTAGCATGTTCGATCGTAAAGTGTTTGCGGTCGAGTAGAGTTACACAAGAATTGCATTAGTTTCCATACAGGACCCAATTTACTGTAATCATAATGCCAAAAATGCATTAAAATGGCCCCATTTAGCATTTTCACAAGTCAGGAAAAGGTTTAACAAATCCCAAACAAGCTTTGAACGAAACCAAGGCCTAGTTAGAATATTTCTATGCAGATTCGAGCTATTCGGTTCAGCCTCGTTCAGAGCTAACGGTCCTTGATGGGATTTTGCTTTCACGAAACTTCCATTTTAAATTCAAAAGTACAGGAAACAACCAGATTAAGTTGCATCTCCTGAGTTTTAACGAAACCCAGCAAGGTTTATGTGACTGCATTTTTAAAGTTTATTTTGAAAGCTTTCATTTAACCCTTTAAAGCCCGATCCAAGAATAAAACAAAACAGAATTTATTTATTTTTTGTTTGAAGTCTTTATTTGTCCTTTTAACAAAATATGTAAAAAGAAAAAACGGAAATACATTTAATAATTTATTACTATGCAATAAATCCAGATTATTTTTTGTGTAGTCTTCTGCCCCCTGTTATCAGGTGGATCTGATTGTGTACAATAGGATTTTGAGCAAAGTTTTTACCATTAAATTATGCAAAAAAGACACAAAACATTTCAGAAACCGTACGTATCAAATATGATTAATTTGGCATTACAGGGTTAAGAGTTACCAAGGTAACCAGACAGTTACATCATCACTGGTTTCAACTCATTAAGTTTTCAGTTGTGGGTTTTGTTCACATTAGATACAGTGACCACTGTCACCACTTGGGAAATTGTGTAAGAAAGGGTGGGATGAATTGGAACAGATGTCAAAAGTAGCCAGGTTTATGTTGTGTGTGTGTGTGTGTGTGTGTGTGTTTGTGTGTGTATAAAGGCCAACGTGATCACGTCTTTCTCTGGTCTCTTGTAGATGATCCAGTGATCATCTCAGTATCTCTGTCATTTGAAATGGCCCATCGTGGTCACAGAGAAACCTCTAGTCAACAAGGGAGCAGCGGCTGTCACCATGGTAACTGCAGATTTGAACTGCTTTTTTATTGTTCCACCCTAAAAAACAAAATTCCTCAAACTCCTCCTTTCATGCACTTTTAATTGAATGTTGTTGGGGGATGTCGGCTCCAGTGTGGCACTAAACTTTAAAGGATTTGGACAATATTTCAATGAATATAATAAGATAAACAATTCATTTGGAAACCATATATACATATATAAGGTTTAATGGGCTTCTTGTACACTGGCAAAAAACAAAAAAACCTAAACATACATTTTTTTGTGTAGAACACTTGTACATCATCTAGTTATACTAAGGTCTTTGTTTTTAGTGTCACTGCTAAATTAAATTAATTTATTCCAAACTTCGTATGATACTGCAAGCACTTAAAAAAACAAATCAAGCTGTTATGGAGACACTTTACAAATATCAGCAATTCGAAATGAATGGCATGAAAAGGTCAATTGTAGGTATGGATTGCAAGTCATTCAAATTTTTTACCAAGACCAAAACGTCATTTTCCCGTTTCATGTAATGTTTTTAGCGTATAGTAATCTATTTAATTCTGCTCTTTGATGAAAGCTGTTTCTGCGCTCTGAGCCCTCAGATGTTCGTTGGAGGCTCCGGTTGCTTCCGGTGGAGCTGCAGGCGGTCTGGGGAGGCCCGAGCTCCACACCACTCTGTCTCTGAGAGCTGCACTTCACTCATTAAAGGTTGAGTCTTTCTTTAGAGCGGCGCTCTACCCCCTAACGCTCTGCTGAACTAATGCGCACCCTTCTTTTGAAGATCGCAAAGGTTATTTAGCTTCTAAACCTTTTGTATCTCAAAATCATAGATTTTTAAAAGAAACGGGCCTTGAACGGCCTCTTGTTCCTGCAGAATAGAAATAGATAAATGAAGATTTGACAGATTTAACACAATTACCGTACTTGTCTTTTATCTTGCAGGAGACGGACTTCAACTCCAAAAAAGCTGTTAAGGAGACCCTGTGCAAATCCGAGAGGATCAAAAGCCTGATCAATGCCAGGGCGACTGAAGGTAACCTACGGACTGGGACTTTTCCACTAGTACCTACTAAAATATTTCCATAGACACTGACACAATCAAAGCTAAATCTGGTCCCACTAAATATTAGTGTATGACCTTTTTTTTTGGTGGCAACTTTTTTTTTTTTTGGCCGGTACGCATGGTTTCGATAATCCTCTGCGTCGTCCATCCAGTGTTGCATTCATTTTTCACCAAGATCTTACACTGATGATGGTGGAAATCTGACCCCTGCACACCGCCTTCTCCTGCACATCCCAAACATTCTCAATGGGATTAAGGTCTGGACTCTGTGGTGTCCAATCCATGTGTGAAAATAGACGTCATGCTCCCTGAACAGGTCTTTCACAATATGAGCCCAATGCATCCTGGTATTATCATCTTGGAACGTGAAATGCCATCAGGGAAGATAAACTCCACTGATGGAACATCCTGGTCATTCAGGATATTCCTGAAGTCAGCTGACCTCATTCTCCTTCTTTGGGCGTTTAATGTTGCCGAACCTAAACCATCTCTCTGGAACAGGGTCAAATCTGGACTCATCAGACCACATTACCTTCTTCCATTGTCCCAGAGCTCAATCTTTATGCTCCCTAGCAAACTGAAGTTTAAGAACATCAGGCCATATCTAACCCAGCGTGGCCCACAGCTCCTAGTCCAGGCCTCAGTCGTCCCTCCTAACAGGCCTCCAGCCTGTGCTGTGAGAAGATCCAGATGATCCAGATGCTGCAGCGGGGTTTGGTTTCCAACCAGCCAATCAGAGCTGGTATTAACCCCCTGTTCTCTGAACTCCTCTGGCTGCCCTCAGCTGCTCCATCAGATCCAGATCCCTGAGAAGCATCTCATTGTAGTTATTTGCTTAGTTAAATCCAGGTTGTTGTTTTTTTTGCCAGGCGGTGTTATTATAGATATCGAGATGGGCATGAAGTCTTTAAGCTTTTATTCTTTAAAAAAGATTCAGATTGTGAACTCAGGATTTATGTACGTTTGTATTTCAATTAGCTATTAAGATTTCCTTCCTTCCCTAAGTTTCTATCTGTGTCTCCCTCTCATCTTCGTCTATGCAGTAGTGAATGTGGCGCCCTCTAAGCTCATCTTCACCTCATTGGTCAGCGTGGGCGTGCAGGAGGATCATCTGACCAGCCGAGTGGCGCAGGACAGACTCCTGCTGACCCCCACGATCCACGGCCCTGACCTTAAAACAGGAGAGGCCCCCTCCCCGTTTTTATTCGGCAGCTCTCACGTGCTCCGACAGAAGCCGTTTCCACCGGAGGAGGAACCGGTCACCCGCAGGTCTCCCTCCAGCTGCCCGCTCCGCTCCAGCTTTGACCTGCACAGACGACAGGGATGCTGGGAGACTACGTCCTGACCACCATCTAATGGCATCATTTCCATATGAGCAAAAATGTAGTTTTCTTTTAATGTGAAAAAACCAGAAGCGCTTAAAAGCAAAAGACCACTTTGGTTTTTTTTGGGGCATTGTAAAACGTCGATGTGTACGTTTTAATGCGTTTTCTTTGTTCTGCCGTCTAAACACTATTTATGTCTTTTGAAAAATAGCTCAAAAAATTAAATAAAGAAATATGGGCCTGTATTAAGACCAATGTAATTATTTATTTATTTTTATTACAAAGATTGCCATGGGAAGCCAGAACTGAAGGAGGGCACGATGCCGTTATATCAGGATCAGCTCAGCATCAAAAGAACAAGACTGGAAACCCCAAACTGACCCCCTGGGGGACAAATAACTGATTTGGCCAGCCAGAACCCTAATCCTAATAAAGACTGTGAGCCTGAGAGCTTTATGTTGCAAACAGAAACTAATTTACTCATGAGGGAAGTGAGCGGTTGGAATGGGACAGTCTTAACACGCTGACCACGCACGGGGGCATTTTAGAGGCCTGCTCTCATGTCCCAAACCCCAGTGATTTGTACCAATGAAGCTAAACTCAACCCTGAGATGATTAAGGAGTTCAGAGCTCTGCGAATCCCACCCGATCTGCAACCCCCCCCCCCCCCCGGGAGCTCTGCAGTCCCTCAGAACAGAGGGGGCTCAGGGGGACTGTCCTCCAGCACCGTCCCATAAGGGGGGGGTCCTGTGAGCTCACATTTAGAGCAGAAGCACAAACCAGTCAGCAAATAACTTTTACTGGACGCTCTCACTCCATAAGTTAGCTTTAAATCAAATAATCTGCTTCCTCAGACAGACTAAGAAAAGATAAATCCTATTCTGATCCGGTGATGATCTAAAGAGATTAATAGTATTTCAGAGTTCACCCAAGTGTCTCCTATTCCTATTACATATAAAAATATATCCATATATATATATATATATAGAAGGAACATAATTTCATATAAATGATGTTCCAACTGCTTTGTAATTTCCACATCTATCTGAAGGTCATCATTTAACATCTAATTTATTAGACAAAGGGATTCTAAAATAATTCTTACCAGCATTAAATATCCCATTTGTACAAAAAAAAGTAAAGGATGCATTTATAGTATATACCAAATCCATTTTAATGGATCTAAAATAACTTGAGTTTTTGCAGTTACTTCTCTATTGATTCTCCTGACAAAAAACAGTTAATCGTTAAGAATTAATTAATCAGATATTAAGAATTGGCCCAGACTAATCCACTGGATGGAAATGTCTTTGACAACTTGATCCTCAGAATAATAAATTAATAATCAACCCAAGTTTTGATAAGCCCGTATTACGTGTTAAGCGAGAGACATTTGACAAACACTAACATTATCTTTAAACAGCGGCCAGTGACCTTTTTTTAATGGACATGAATGCTGCACATGCGAGAACAAGAGTCCAAAAGCAAATCCAGCAAGATGTCGAGCACAAACACCACATACATTTAAACACCTTGCGTGTATACAGTACAATAACCACACCCGACACATTTAAATCTTGGAAGATGAGAAAAAGATTTGCAAATACTTTTAATGTCTGAATAAGAAAATAATCAAAAAAACATGTGTTTAAAATGTTAGCGTGGGGGGAGTAGAAACTAATGTACACTCGGGTATTAAACGGCTCGGTACTAAAGACGACGTGGAGGAAACTTCTAGCGCATCCTGTACTCCAAAGTCTTTGACATCTCACACAGCTGACCCCTGAAGTCGATGTCCACGGTGAAGTCCAGGTCTCGCTGGAAAGAAAATGCAAACGCGGTCAATCTCGAGAGGAAGAGAGATGAGAGAGAGCGAATAGGGAGATCTTTTTTTTTTTTTAACAACTCAGCCCCTTTTCCTTACGTTGTTCTTTACATTTGGCTTCATGCCAATTGTGCCAAAGATCTCCTCTCCAGTCTTCACGGTAAGGTAATCGTCTAGGTAAAAGACAGTCTGCTTCCAATGGGTATAAGGAGACTCTGGACCTAAAGAAACAGGAAAAAAATCAAAAGAAAAAAAAAAAGAGGGAGTTTAGCTACCGTTTAGGAGAAAACAGGTTTAGGAAAACAAAAAAGCCAAGTGGAGAGAAATTGAAGGCGTGACTGACTGGTGGAGAAGCCGATCCTCTTGTGACAGCGGGTGAACTCGATGTTGAAGTAGGTGACCAGCGCGTGGATGTAGTCGTTTCTTTTCACTTGGAGGCAGAACGGCGAGGTGAAGGTTAGGTCCTCAGCTTTCACTGTGTAGATGTCAACCTCCTATAGAGAAAATAAATATAAAAACCAGGCCCAATCACATCCCAACCCATCGGTCAGGGGCATGTGTGAATGCTGAGTGACAGTCCAGCAATATGACATCAGAAGAGTCATTCGTCCACCCACCCTGATGAGACAGGAGTTGCTAACCAGCTGCTTGGGATCCACCACATCCACCAGGGGCTCCTTAATGGCTACCTCCTTAATGCAGGACATATCAAAACCATACACATTCTCCCACCCTATAGAAAGAAAAAAAGGATTAAATGACAACATACTGCACCAAGAATATTTTAGAACATTGCCCATAAAAAAATTTTAAGAAAAAAACAGTTTTAGCCAAGAACCTAACCAAGCATACACACACATCAACTTAATGGAAACCAACAGTCTGCAAAAAAATTTAACCTAATTAACTAATTAATTGAGAGGAATAACAACAATAACAATTGCGAGGTCTGCTGTGTGGAATGTGTCCATTAATTTGTTTTTCTCTCTCAAAAGATCATTTGACCAATTTAAAAATATTATGCGTACGGTCGTTAAAGCTTTCCAAATTGAACAGTCAACATTTTTTCAGTGGAAGTAGTTATGGGCCAACTGTCGGGGTGAGTTGAGTTGCAAACCGGCCCTTTAACTGTAATCGACTCTGTCTGCTCTGTGTTGTCGTTCAGACTTAAAACCAACATTGCCAACGTCACAATTTTCCTGCCTCCACAGACAAAAAAAGCCTTTATAGCTTTATGTTGCCAGTCCACTCACAGTGGATTTTGTAGTCCTTGTACTGCCTGTCTTCGATGGCAGTGACGTACAATGTGGCTCGATCAGGGAAAATCAGCCCATCCGGTTTCTGCGAGTGAATAATAGGAGAATCAACAACTCCAGAGCACCAAAACCACACACAGTAACAGGGAATGCATGATGACCCACTTTGTATTACACTACTCTGAATACACGTACAGGTGAATTTAGTAATATTATTGCATTCTGCTTTGTCAGTAGCTGCACTGACCAAGGCTTCCTTGCCATGTATAAAACCATTAGGGAGTGAGGCGCAAATGAACTGCTTAACTGAATAGTGAGCAAAAGAATATTTCGGCATTTAACTGTTGTTAGTGTTGAACATGCCATCTGGCCATTGAAACTACATGCAGCCCTAAAAAGAACCACATACCATTAAAGTAACAGTTACAAAGAATATATACTGTAAATTTTAGGAACACATACCAGCCATTTGTCCCTGGCATATATAACTGTGTTGAGCATCGATTCATAAAAGAGACAGTAGCCCATCCACTCTGATATGATGATATCAACTCCATCAACCGGCAGCTCCACCTCCTCCACTTTCCCTTTAATGATGGTTATGACTGAGAAATGAAAAATAGTGGAAAAGGTTACAACTTTTAACCCTCCCCTCACACACTCACCACCACCACTCACTCACCATCATCCAGGTTGTTTGCCTTTACAATTTTCACAGCATAGTCTGAGATGCTGCTGCACTCAATCTATTAAAAAGGAGAGAATCATTATAAAAACATTAAAGAACAAAATGGAGGCAAAATCATGTGCACCTTCCGGGGAAGAAAAAAAAACACACACACCCCAATGACTTTCTTGGCTCCAGCTTTAGCAGCAAACATGCAGAGGATTCCAGTTCCACTGCCAACATCCAACACAACCTTGTCCTTGAATAGATGCTTGTTGTGAAACATGGAATTGCGATAGGTCAGAGTGCGCACCTCATCTTTGAGCATCTCCTACAGGGAGAAGGTGAGAAGTCAGCGGGACATCTGGTCAAAAAAACTATTCTCCAATTAGGAACGGCTCATATATAAATCAGATTGTGGAAACCGTACCTCATGAATTCCAAAGTGGGCATATGAGTCAAAGTAGTAGTCCTTTGATGTCATATCTTCAGCTGCTGGCTTGGCAGAGCTCTCTCCCTGAGAAACCTCAACAAAGACGCAAACAATCAAAAGAAAAAATTGTTATAGAAAACGACATATTTACACACATACATATATACACACATATTTATTTATATATCTATATATATACGCACATTTACACACATATTATAGAACTATATAAAGATATACATCCATCTTCCTATACATGTATAAAGTTACATCTTCTGGCAAAATTAATATTTTCGTCAGAGATGAATGCGTTAGCTTTTTCCGACAACTGGTGTAAAGAGTAAAACCTAGTCCGTTTGTGAGGCAGCATCCGCGTCTTTAGCATCACGCACTACCTAGCTTACAACACGTTTTTCCCCATGTGGTGCACGGGCTTAGCCGTCCGCGCGCGCAAGATGACGCATCAGCTAACAATGGTTAGACTTAAGATTACTCGGCCAAACTCACGAGATGAACAAACAGATACCAACATCACCATAAATCGAACAATGTTCGACGTATTGGTAGTGGGTTTTTTTTCGCGCCTTCCAATGGTCCCATTTGGGAGCTTCATTAGCAGTTGCGTTGCATCACTAGGAAAAATGTTTCCCAGTGAAAAAAAAGGCTAAGACTAATTTGGCTAAGTAAATTTTGAAGAGCACGGACTTCGCAAAATCAGACCTTGCCCGGGAGACCGCAAAATATTAAAAAGGACTCGGAATACACTTTAGAAGTAGTTCCCATTGTAAAAGCCTACCTCCATCCTTTCCGCTGGCGCCGCCATTTCACTCTTCTTCTGAACGTCTTCTTCTTCTTCTACTTTCAATTTTTATCCGTCTACTTCTTCGCTCGGATTGTTTTCTTTGTTGTTGGATACTTGACTGATAGGTCTGATTACTGCCACTTACTGGACAAAAAATAAAATAAAAAACGAGGTTTTTGACAATAGTTATTAATAGCAATATTAGTAGGTACTTTTCTTAAGTAATTGGGGAAAGAATACCACCGTACAATTACAGTATAACCACTTTCAGCTGCATTATTATGGTTGTTCAGTACATTCTCAAATAAGTTTGTCCATGATGCTATTGTCACTATCCACTTAAATGATTATCTCAGGAACTTGGTACCACTTTTGATATTCATCAGCATGGGATATATGGGACATATGAATTCACCGCAACCCTGCTGGGAATAAGCAATATAGATGGATAAACTGAATGACCTGTGTAAATGTGTTTAATATCCTGTGAGAGATTTCAACAATGCAATGTGCGGTACGAACAAAATTTGGTATAATAATGTTTTAAAAAATTTAATTTCAGAATGTGATCAGAGTTGGTTGGAAAATGATCATTCAATAGTTTATATAGATGCTTAACAAATTCAAAGTTGAATTCAAAGAACTGATGATTTACCATTTGCAGCACCCCATTTAGAGTACCATATTGGACATGAGGAAAACTTTTAGAGAAACCTTTCAAATAATTATTTCTATATCCATTCATCTTCAATAACTGTATGTATGGCGGAGGGTTAAGGGTAACAAAATTAAATAAACATCTCATAAAATACATACCAGGAAATCTTCCATTCATTAAACGTATCATAAAATGACTAAAAACATAATAGAATAAATAAATACATAATTTGATACATCGCTAAATCATCAAGTAGATCAATAAATTATTAAATACATAATGGAATCATTAAATATGCAATTAAATAATCAAATGACCCCTGAAATTGTTAAATCTGCCTTTTTAAAAATTGAAGTCAAATACTAAAATGTCCTCTAAAAGAAAACTTTCATTACAAAATATAGTCAATTATTTCACAGTGTATTTATTAATTTCATATTTCCAGTGCGAATGCTATTTTCATTAAATAATTCAAACTGTCAAAGCCAGCTATCAAACTCAGTAGGCCGGACTAACGTTGATCCTTTGAAATGCTCTGTTTTGGTCTGTTGTCTGTTTTGTGTTGTGTGCAAAGGTGGTGGCTCTGTCCATAAAAGACCTGAACGAGCTCTGTTCTAAACTGATAGGAGACATTTTAAACAAAGCTACAAACTGCTCAACCACAGTTTGTAGTGGACAAATTATAGCAGTTTACCACTGGAGGTATTTCTGGACTCAAACTAAGACATT